CCTTCTCTCTCTAGTACTATGACTTTGGTTTGGAAGGGGGAGAGCTATGGTTGGCTGCCAGTGCAGACCGGAGAGTTAGTGTCTGGGCTTCGGATTGGTTCAGAGATAAATGTGAACTGGTAGACTGGCTGAGTTTTCCAGCACCCACCAACCCAAAGGTAAGATCGTTCATCCAGTGTGGTTGTTTTCTCTGGGACATCACTGATCTCTCCCCTGACCTCTCTCATTCTTGACTTTTCCTTATAGATTCCATCCAACTTACCTCCTTCTCTAGCTGCCTTCTGCCCTTGGAACAGTAGCATGCTGGTCTATGTAGGCTTTGGGTTGAAAGAAGAAGTGCTCTTCTACAGCCTCCATCAGAAACAGGTACCAGTGCTTCTTCTCCCAGGAAAGAGCTGGGCAGGCCAAGATAAGGAATGCCTAGTTTAAAAAGGGGATCTTTGAGCCACAGACCCATTTACGGCACAGCATGAAATAGGTCACAGCCTTGCTCAGGCTATGAGACAGGGTCTCATGTCCCACAGCACTGTGGTCTGGGGTGGGTGGATTTAAGTATCACGGAGCAAGGCCAGAAGGTTAAATGAGATACCATTTCTTACTTCAGACTTTAAGTTCCTAGAATTTGGGCCTTCATGGTACATGCCCACACATAGCACTGATTCTGGAGCCAGCAGTACTGAACAACACAGCACTCCTCAGCAGCCTGGTGGCATCAGTACAGCAGCTGCTCTGCTGCCTTGGCTTGACCCAGTGCCACCCTCTCCTTCTGTCTGCAGGTGGTAGAGAAGATCCCCTTGTCCTACTTTGCGACTTCCCTCAGCCTGTCCCCAGGATCGGCCCTCATAGCTGTTGGCCATTGTGGTAAGTTCCCCCACAGCCACACAGTAGGGAGGGGACGCAAGGGCTCTGCCCTGGGCCTGTACTTGACACCTGGAACTCCTGGGGAAACAGTACTATGTCTTATAGAGCACTGAACCTCTCTACTCTCCCTCTCTCACTCCCAGCAGAAACTGCTTTGAGTAATGTTGCTGTCTTCCTCCCTGTTGGAGGAGACATATTTGTTGGGAGTTTCATTTGCTTAACAGTCCAGGCTTTTTGGCAGGGAGGGGTGGGTGTTGAAATCAAAGGATAGAGCATTTCAAATAGTAATCAATTCAACTCAGTAAACCTTTATTCTATGCCTACTATGTGCTAGGCTCTGGGGTTACACAAAGTGGCAAAAGACAATCCCTGCCCTCAGGGAGCTTACAATCTAATGGAGGAGACACCATGCAAACAAATATATATAAAGTAAGCTATATGTAGGGTAGATAGGAAATAATTAACAGTGGGGAGGCACTGGAATTAAGAGAGGCTAAGGAAGGCTTCCTGTTGGATATGGGATTTTATTTGGGACTTAAAGGAAGCCAGGAAGTTCAGTTCTCAGAATGTTCTAGGCATGGGGGACAGCCAGAAAGAATGCCTGTAGCCAAGAGATGTATCTTATTTGTGGAACAGCCGAGAGGCCAGTGTCACTGGATGGAAGAGTATGTGTTGGGGACTAAGGTGTAAGAAGACTGGAATGGCAGGAGGAGGCTCGATTATGAAGGGCTCTGAATGGCAAAGAAAACATTTTGTATTTGATCCTGGAGGTGACAGGGAGCCACTGGAGTTTATTGAGTAGTGGGGTGACATAACCAAATCTGCGATTTAGGAAAATCACTTTAGTGGCTGAATACCGGATGGATTGCAGTGAGGAGAGAGAATGGAGACAGGCAGACCCATGAGAAGGCTATTGAAATAACCCAGGAGTAATGTAATGAGGGCCTGCACCAGAGAGAGGGGGGCTTATTCCAGTGATGTTGCAAAGGTAAAATTGACAGGCCTTGGCAACAGCTTGGACGTGAGAGGTGAGAGATAGTGAGGAGTCCAGGATGGCTCCTAGGTGGAAAGCCTGAGGGCCTGGGGGGAGGGTGTTACTTTCTATAATAATAAGGAAGGTAGCATGGGGCAGGATTTAGAGAGAAAGATACTGAGTTCTGTTTTGGACATAATGAGTTTAAGATGTGTATTGGGCGTCCAGTTTGAGATATCTGAAAGACAGTTTAAGATGTGAGGTTGGGGATCAGCGGAGAGATTGGGTCAGGAAAGGAAGATTTGGAAATCATAAGCATACAGGTGGTAATTAAATCCATGGGAGCTGATGGAATCACCAAGTGAAGTAGTATAGAGGGAGAAGAAAGTAGGGCCCAGGACCTAGGATCCAGCAAAGGAGATGCAGAAGGAGTGGTCAGGTAAAAGAACCAAGAGAAAGTGGTATCCTGAAAACCTAGAGAGAACAGAGTACGGGGGGGAGAAAGTGATCAGCAGTGTCAAAGGCTGCAGGGAGGCCAAGGAGAGTGAGGATTGAGAAAAGTCCATTGGATTTGACAACTAAGAGATCATTCAGTGGAATGATGAGGTTGGAAGCCAGATTGTAAGAGGTTTGGAATAGAGGAGAAAGTGGAGGAACAGATTGTAGATAACTTTTGGAGGAGTTTAGCTACAATGAGCAGAAAAAGATAAAGGACCATGGTTAGCGGAGATGGAAGGATTAAGGAGGGGGTCAGGATAGGGGAGACATTGTTTTGTTGTTGTTGAGTTGTTTTGGTTGTGCCCAACTCTTTGTGACCCCGTTTGGGGTTTTCTTGGCAACGGTACTGGAGTGGTTTGCCATTTCCTTCTCCAGATCATCTTACAGATGAGGAAACTGAGGCAAACAGGGTGAAGTGACTTGCCTGGGGACACACAGCTAGTGTCTGAGACTGGATTTGAACTCTGGTTCTCCTGACTCCAGATCTGGTGCTCTATCCACTGTACTACCTAGCTGCATGGGCATGTTTGTAGGCAGGAGGAAATGAACCAGTAGAGAGGGAGAGATTGAATGAAATAAAGGAGAGAGTGGATATGACAGAGGGGTCAATCTGTTGGAAGAGATGGGATGAAATGGTGAGGAGAGGGGGAGCCATGGGTGGTATGCCCTGCTTGCTTCTGCAGGCCTCTGCATCAGAATCAATGGCAGGGTATGTGGGTGGAGGTGGGATGGGTGAATTTCAGGGAAAATCCCCACTTATCAGGAATTCCTGCCTCTGATACTTAGGACTAACATGATTTTGGTTTCCTGGCCTAGACTGGCTTCAGACTCAGAGATTAAAAAAACATCTTTTAAACCATTGAATTGTGATAGTATGATTTGAGGGCCTTTCCTTGCTGCTTTCTGATGCCACCGTGAGGTGGCACAGCTCCCGAGGGAAGAGTCCTAAGACCCTGCTGTTTACTCTTATGTCCCCACAGAGCGATTGCTGAGGCTTATTGACTGCATGTCGAAGACTGAGCAAGACTTTGTGGGGCACAACGATGCCGTCCACCTCTGCAGATTCACACCATCTGGCAAACTGCTCTTCACAGCAGCCTACAATGAAATCCTTGTGTGGGAGGTGCTGGGCTCAGCAGCAGCAGCACCCAGAGAGGCCAAGAACTCCCCTCTTAGACCTCAGATAGCCAGATAGACTCTTCCATCCAGCTTGCTGACCTGAGTGTGGTTCAGTTAAAACTTGTTCCATAAATCACGTAGCTCTTTTTAAAAAAAAGCCCATTTAGGCTGAAGAAAGTCAGCTGCTGTCAGGACTGCAAACTGACTCTTCACAGACCTATTTGATAAACCCAGCATGAAGGGTGAGAAGGCTGGACCACTTCCCTCACCAGGGCAAAAGTCACATCTACTAGTCAGGTACATAGTAGCATCGGCCCATTCCTGTTCCAGAACCTGCAATCCTAGCCCCCCCCAATCATTTTCAATGATCTTGCTCTCCAGAAAAACTGCCCCAAAGGAAAACATGCTCTGATAACAGGGCAGCCCAACTTATTGCCTCGTGCCTTTGTTTAGGGTCTGTGTGTTTATATATATGTGTGTGTGGATTTCAGTATATATTTTTGCCTTTAGATCCATTTTGAGGTCTTCAGCTGGGGATTGGCCTGCAAGACTTGATGCTAAGCCAAGAAAGAATTTTTACAAATCAAACAGGCCAAAACACATTTAAGTGTTATGGAAATATGTAAAATACTTGCTGACCTCTTATCTGTAGGGTTATTTTTTTAAATGCTTCTACACTTGTACAGTTTTGAAATAAAAGTAGATGTTTGCAGTCCGGCTGTAAGCTCAGTTGTTGTCAGCCCCTTGCTGGAGAATTTAGGTGATTGTGTTCCTTTCTCAGTTCCTCTTCACCAAGATCAGGACCTTAGCACTTGCCCACTTTGCCCACTTGACCCGTTCCAAGGAGGAGGAGGAGGAAACTTTTTTCCTGAACACTAGGGAGAAGATCCATGGCTTGGCTGGGAGAAGCCAGTAGTTATAATGAGGGCTCCTGTCTAACTCTTCAGAACCTCAACCTCTTGCTCTTCCCCCCCCCCCCCCCCCCCGCCCCCACTTCCATTATTCCTGTCTTACAGATGAAGTCACGGACTGAGAGGTTAGGAGGCATGGTGGCCCCCTGTCAAGCTGCCATCCCTAGCACTCATCATCCCCATTCAGCTCCCTCCATATGCCCTCCAGGTTAGTCCCAGGCAGGCACCTAGCAGGTCTGTTGATTTGAAGTGACCTTCCTCATGGCCAAACAGCTAGTGTCAGACCCAAGTCTCCTGACTCCAAGGCCAGTACTCGTTGTTTAAAAAAAAAAATCAGTTGCTTTCCACTCACCCCAACTGCCCCTTTAGACAAGACATTGGGCGTGTCTGAAAGTGCATGCCTCATTCTGCAGCAGCACTGAGTAAGTGTAGACACTTCCACGGAAGGCCTGGAGTGGAGGGAATGCAGCATCTCCCCTTCCCGCCCCCGCCCCCGTCCGGCGCGGGCAGGCTAGGCGCAGTACCCACCGCGGAGCACCAGGGGGCGCTGCTGCATGTACGCGGCGGCTGCCGGGGTCCGCTCTAGGCCGGCGGCTCCCTGGCGCTCTCTGGTGGGCCGGAAGTGCGCGCGGAGGGCCGCTAGCGGCTGGCGGAGCGGCAGCCGCGGGCTCGGCTAGCACCATGAAGCGGCACGTACGGATCCTGCTGCTGGGCGAGGGTGAGCAAGGCGGCGGGGAGCCGGGGTCCCGTCAGCCTGGGGCGCCCGCGGGCGGCAGGCGTGGGGGTGGGGGCGGCGGGCACCGGGCTTGACCTTGGGCGCGGGGCAGGGAGGGCGCGGCGCTGACCCGCCCCTTCTGTCCCCCCCCCCGCCTCCTCCCGCAGCCCAGGTGGGGAAGACCTCCCTGATCATGGCCCTGGTGGGCGAGGAGTTCCCCGAGGAGGTGAGTGTCGCCCCCGCGCCGGCGTGCCTGCCCCACTTTACGGAGCGGGAAGCTGAGGCTCCGGAGCCGCCAGCTCTCGGCCACGTCAGAGCAGCAGGGCCGGGGCCGGGACCGGACTGCGCGCTGCCCTCGGCCGCGTGGAGGGCGGGCACGGGCCGCAGGGCCCCGGGTGGGGGTGGAGGTGGGGGCCCTCCCCCCGGGCCGCTGTCCAGCCGCGGGGCGGGGTCTGCTGCCGAGGGAGGCGGTGACTCCGCGCCGGGGGCATGGTGGCTCCTGCGGGACCTCCCGAGGGGGGACCTCCCGAGGGGACCCCTCAGGCGCTAGCAGTGGAGACTCAGGGACCCCTGGCACCCCCGCCCCGCCTGGGAGGTGATCGCGAGCCCCGTAACAACTTTGTGAGGTCACCGGTGCAGCCGTACCCCCGAAATGAGAGAGGGAGACGGAGTGTGTGGGCACGGGCCGGAGGGGAGGCGGCCCAAGCAGGCCACGGCCCCCTGTCTGAGGGGGCATAGGCGGCCCTAAGGAGGTCATAGAACTTTAGACCTGACAAGAACATTAAAAATCATCTAGTCCGATGTCCTCCTTGTACAGATGAGGTAACTGAGGCCCAGAAACGGACAGAGTCCTGCCCCAGAGAGCCAAACTGGGACTTGAACTCAGGCCTTCAGGGTGGTCCAGTGGAGCAAATGCTGCCTTGGAATGGAAAGACCTGAATTATAATTCTGACTTAACCATTTAGTACTTGTATACTTTAATTTCCTTGTTACTGGTCACCTTACATGGCTGAGCCTCAGATTCCTCCTGGACAATGGAGTTGGGCTAAATGATCTCTAAATCCTTGTTTCTGATACCCAATCTAGTTGTCTTTTTTGCTTCCCTGCCTGAGTGTCTGAGATTAGCTGCTCTGTGGGGAGAGCCTGGGATTAGCTGCCTGTGTTCCTTGTATTTAAGTCTGTCCTTTGAGAAGCTGCTCTGGGCTCTTGGCAGAGGGCTGCTTGCAGAGATTACTGGGCAAGGAACCACAGCTTTGGCCATAAGCAGCTCTCTCTGTCACCCATAGGAACCCTTAAACCGCTGTCTTCGAGAGATTTTTCCCTTGAGTCACCCAGGTGGGTGAAATAATTAGGAAGACCTCATTTTCATTCATTTGCATGTGGTTTGCATGGAACTACAGAAACTGTACCACCTGTTCTCAGGCAGTAAGATTGTGACTTCTCTAAAGGCTATGATTTCTTGATTTTCTTATTTTGTATTTCTGTCATCCTCTCGACAGTCACTCATCATGAATTACTCTGTCTTAAGAATATGGGGAGAAAAAAGGAATAGGGGCCGGTAATGAGGGCAACAGAGACTTGAGTTAACCAATAAACCTTTATTAAGCACCTGCTGTGTGCCACATGCTGGGAATACAAATACAAAAGTGAGACAGTCCCTACCCTCAATGAGCTTCCATTCTGCCAGGGATATACCGTGTTTACAAATGAACAAATACTTAACATATACAAAATAAATACAGAGTTATCTGCTGGGGCCCAGGGGGGGTGACTAATGATTGAAAAATTAAGAAAAGGCCTCATAAAGAAAGTGGCTCTTGAGCTGAGCCTTGAATAGAGACTAAAGATGTTCTGAGAGGTAGAGATGAGACAGGTGCCTCTTCCAAGGATGGAATATGAAAAGGTGTGGAGCTGGAATGTTGTCCACAAGACCAGCAAGCATGCTAGCTTAGCTGGATCATAGAATACATCATGGGGAGTAAAGAGTAATCACCTTAAAAAGTAACGCTGGAGCCAATTGGTGAAGAGTTTTAAATGTTTATCCTAGAGACGATAGGGAGACACTGAAGCTTCTTGAGCAGGAGAGTTGCCAAATTTGGAGAATACTTTCTTGTGGTGAGGAGGGGAATCAGTGTGGTCCAGTGGAAAGGATACTGGCTTTGGAGTTCAGGGACCTGGGTTTGAATCATGGCTCTGCCATTTCCTGCCAGTATGACCATAGGCAATTAGTCACATGTCCTCTTTGGAACTGTTTACTTATCTATAAAATGGGGAGAGGGGAAGGAGGAGAGTGTTTAGGGATGGACTAGATGATCTTTCAGGTCCTTTCTGGCTATAAGGCTATAATCCTTTGAGTGCATGCCCATAAGGTAAGGTCATTTTTTTTCCCTTTGGCTGAAGGATCATGATAGGACATGAAAATGTCATAGACTACATCCCTTATGGATGTACTTAAGAGATACTTATAGGGGACTGACACCAGTGTTATAAGACAGTGTCATTTCTTCTCCAGCTTCCAGGTGGCTTATAGTTTGCCAGCCAGGTGACTGTCACCTTTTTTTTTTAAAGCATAATTTTTTACCTCAGTGCTGACGTTATTGAGGGAATTGATGAAAGCAAACAGCTAGGCTACTAGATGTTTCCCATCATGTTCCTCACAGGAGGAAAGGGTACCAGCTGGTCCCAGGAACAGTGGGTGCAGTAATCTGTGGGCAGTGATTGGTGTGTGAGAAAGGTTTTATGCTATCTAGCCTTAGGGTCTTCAAACCTTAGGACTTTGGTCACACTCTTGGACTAGCAGAGGTTGCAAGTATTTTTTTATTTCTTATTGACCTATCCCATCCTTATTGTAGAATTCTACTCTTCTCCCACGAACTGTCTGCCCTTGTGTGAACACTTGTTTTTTCTAAGGTTCCCCCTCGGGCTGAAGAGATCACAATTCCGGCTGATGTTACCCCTGAGAAGGTGCCCACTCACATTGTTGATTACTCAGGTAGGTCCCTTCCCCCACGTGGACCTGGGCAAACACCCCAGCCCAGGTCTGCTCCCAGGAGCAGCCTTCTCAATAGAAATCACCCTATACACCCACTGTCCTGAGTGCTTATCCAGGGATCAAGTACAAGAGGATGGCTCAGCACTGGGTAATGGTGTCTTTTAATTTCAGAAACGGAACAGACAGAGGAAGAACTGCAAGATGAGATCCACAAGGTGAGATTGAAATTACGAACTGTGAGTTAAAATGGGAAATAGGAAGAGCGAAGGTGGTAGAATGTGGTGAAAACCCCCCAGCAAAACAGGAGTCTAGAGACCTGGTTCTTATTATGGCTCTGCCACTTACTTTCTGTATTACCTTAGGTAAGTCTTTTCCCTTTTTTCAGGTCTTCAATGCAGCTTCTATTCATATTGGAAATAGGATTAGATTTAGGTGAACACTGAAGCCCCTTCCATCCCTAACATTCTAAGATGCTAAGCTAGGAGCTTTATGTGATGCTAGGTTAACAAGGGCTTTCTTCATAAAGGGGCTGGCCTTGATGCCCTAATGCTCTGTCACCCTGCTTATTAGAACCATCTTCCATTGTATATGGACTACAGGTAAAATGCCAATCAGGCTAGTGGTCTCAGCCCCTGAACTGAGTCTGGCAGCACCTAATTAAGCCAGAGGGCATGGAATGTAGTGGCCTGAGGTCGAATAGGGAAAGAGATAGATGGGAAGTTTTTGTAGGAGCAAAGATCTTCCTTTCCTAGGAGGAGCATTAAATGGTCCAGCTTCTAATATCTCCCCATTCCCACTCTGGATCCTTTTTGCAGGCAAATGTGGTATGCATGGTATATGATGTTTCTGAGGATTCCACCATTGAGAAGGTAAGAGTAGCTTTCATGGTCAGACTGTTGCAGCTTTCTCTAGAAGTTGGTCCGAAATACTTAGCTCCCACTGTGTACAGAGACCGATAATAGGTGCTGTAGGTTAGGGTTGGGGAGGAGAAATCCCGAAGAAACAGAAGACACAAGCACCATCCTAGGGTTGTGTAGCGATTGGAGTCAAGTGTAGGCATTAAGGGAGCTCTTTGGTTACCTTATTGCTAAGATTCTTTTATAGAAGCCTTATGAAAACAGCTGCCTCTCAATCATTTTTTATTAGGGCCAAGAAAACTCTGATGATTGGAATTTATAGAGAATATCTTTGCCTTTTTCCCTGTAGCTTTAAGGTGTTAAAAAGCAGTGAAATTTCTAAAGGCTAAGAGGAAGGGGAAAAGCCCTTATAATTCACACACTGCATAGCCCCCTCTATAATAGCCAAAGAATATTACAGAGCTGGTTGTAAGGACAGGAGCACTGCCAGTTTATATTTTATATTGCCTGCTCTTTTCTCTAGAAGGAATGCAGGCAGTGAATTTTATTTTCTTTGCCCTCTGGAATAAATCATTACTCACTGTGGAGGGGCCAGTGAGTGAATAAGGGGCTATTTTGCAAGGCTTTCCTCTTGCCTGATGAAACTTGAGCATCACCCTGGGTGGCCACGCTGTTCTCTTAAGAATAAACTGTATAAAGGAGAAAACCCCTAGTCAAAGGGCACGGTCACCTGGATCTGTACCAAGAAGAATGTGGTCTAGTACTCAGGGGAGATTGTTGTTAACAAGGCCTATGGCCCAGAGTTAGATTCCTTGCAGGTTGCTCCCCACATTGGGAATTTAGAGCTAATGTGTATCTTTGCCCAGGCACAGCTGGATAGGTCTTATTGGTCTATTTAACTCCCATGTATTGGTTCAAATGTGACCCTCATTATTAAATTTTCCCTGATTCATCCCAGCTGAAAGTAAATTTCTACTTCCATTTAACTTCCATGAAACTTATTGTACTTACCACAGACTGCCTCGTATTATAGTTTATTTGTGCACATCCCTCCAGCTGAGAGTCAGCATGGCATACTGGATAAAGAGCTGGCCTCAGAACCTGGAAGACCTGGGTTCAAGTCCTGCTTCTGATGCATACTGTCTCTGTGACCCTGAGCAAAGCACTTAACCTCTAGGCTAGAGGTGTCAGACTCAAGGGCCACAGTTCTTGAGTGCTGCCAGAACCAGATTAAAATGTAATTGGGAAGTGTTTAACAAAATAAAAATACATTATAACATAGATAATGTTAATTTGTGGTTTTCTAAGTCATTATGCACTACAGGGATCTGTTTCTATTTGAGTTTGACCCCACTGCTCTAGGCTTCTTGTTAAAGGCTGTAAGTTTTGGAGGAGGTACAGCCCTGCATTGGTAGAAGGAGTTCTCTCATCCAGAAATTCCCTATTCCAGTAAAATCACAGGTTCAGTTTGTATCAGTCCCTTATCTCTAGTACTAGAAAGAAAGCTTCATTGGGATAAGATCTGTCGTATTCATCTTTATGTTTCTCCCATATTGTTTCATATGTGGCAAGTGCTCAATAAGTATTTTTTGAATATTTTGGGGGGGTTTGTTTTTCAGATTCGAACAAAGTGGATTCCATTGGTGAATGGGAGAGCAGAAAAAGGGCCCAGGTACTAAGTATGATTTCTCTGAAATGGGTGGGAGGTAGCTCTGTGATATGGCCTGTATTCCAAGCACAACCCTTTTCATCACTTGTACTTGGGCTAGACCTAACTCATATCCACTGGTTCCCAATCCTTCCCCCTCTGAAAAGCTTCCATTTTTCATTATCTTCCCAGAATCCCTATCATTCTGGTAGGGAACAAGTCAGACCTACGCTCTGGGAGCTCCATGGAGACCATTTTGCCAATCATGAACCAGTTTTCTGAGATAGAGACCTGTGTAGAGGTGAGTGACAGGCCAGGACGGGGGGGGGGGGGGGCACCAAGGAGAAGTAGAAGTAAATGACAAAATGGTCACATCAGCATAGCCCTACTCCTTTGGGAAATGTCTACTCCTCTTCTGAATGATTTGTTACTAATTACTGCTTCTTCAACAGGGACCTATTGTGAAGGAATCTGGTGATTTAAAGGGAGATATGTTAAGTCTGGGTTTTTTTCCACCAGGTTTCCTCTGCCTGGTATGTGCTAGCACTGTTGTAGGACCGTAGAGGATCCAGAAAAATCACGGTGCCTGCCTTAAGGGAGTTTGTAATGTAGTTGAAGGATAAGACATACAAAGAAAACATAATGCAAGCAGCAAATGAGGGATAGAGCCAAGAAGAGCTGTAGGAGTCAGGAATTCATTTCAATTCTCTTGTAAAAATGAGAGGAAAATGGCCAGCTGGTGTGGTCAGGGAACGCTTCATGTAGAAAGTGGGGATTTGAACAGTGTGTTTATGAATGGATAGGATTAAGGCAGGTGGAAAGGAGAGAGAATGGTGGTGGTGGTGGTGGTGGAGGAGGAGGAGGAAAGGAAAACAATCCAACTAAAAGAAAGTAGGAGATAGTGCAAGAAGGTGTTTTGGAGGGAAGTTGAATAATTTGCTTCACTAGAGAAATTCTCAGTGGGGGAGTAGTGGGAAGTAAGGCTAAGAAAGGAGATTGGAGCCAGCTTATGGAGAGATTTAAAATGCCAGGCTAAAGAGTTCAAACTTTCTCCTTGACAGTGGGGAGTAATCCAAGGTCATACTTTTGTGTAAAGCATGCTTTTGCCCAGCCATGACTTAGAATCAGATGAATTATTCCAATTTCAGGGCAGAGCAGGGAAGAACTCTCCTGAGGAAAGTTGTGCCTTGCCGCTAACAAGAATGCTGATTAGTAGCAGTTCTATGTTACTGTTAGTTTTGTTCTTGAATGATATCTCTGATTTGATTCCTCCTGACCCCAGATCCAGCCTCTAGAATCTTGAGGAATAGATGTGTGTCTCCCTCATGCTCTATTTTGTTGTGTTTCTCCTAGTGTTCTGCCAAGAACTTGAAAAACATCTCAGAATTGTTCTATTATGCTCAAAAGGCAGTTTTACACCCTACGGCCCCCTTGTATGATCCAGAGGAGAAGCAGGTGAGAATGGGGAGTATCTGTGTGAAAGTGGAGGCATACTTGAGTTTGGCCTCCACTTTGAAGCCCAAAGTGTCTGGATCCTGACCACTGAATATTCCCCTACCAGATCTTTTAATATTTCTTTTTCCATTCTTTTCAAGCCTGATTCAGGAAAGGCAGTTCATGTTGGTATAGAGTCCTTTGATCAGAGAATCATAAAATGGCAGAGTAGAAAGGATCACCTTGTCTCATCAGCTTATTTTTTAGATGAGGGAACAGACCTGGAGAGAGAAAGAGAAGTGCCTAAGGTCGAATAGTGAGTTAGTAGCATAGCTGGAATTAGAACCCAGATCTGCTCATTATGATGTTTCAATACCTTTAGCTTGGTTTAACTTGAATCAAAAGCTCAAGACTGAGTCCTGCAAGCTAAAGGTACCCCTCGGCCTAAGTGTCTGGGACTCCTAGTGGTACCACTTCTTTGGCACCCAGCACACACCATTGATTCACATTGGATACTTTTGGGGTCCGTGTTTTGTACATTTCACTTGTATGCTTCCAGCAACCATGGTGTTTGGTGGTACGGCCCCAGATGCTCTCCAGAGGAACACAGCCAATTCTGAAACATTTGTACCAGTGGGGGAATAACAGAACCATATGTTTTTGTAGGCATATATTCCTCAGACCTGGTTTTAACCCAAAGTTCAGCCTCTTTCCTTTCCCAGCCCTTGCCTGACCGGCTCCCAGAACAAAATGGATGGATATGTTCCACTCCTTTTTTGTCCCATTTGCTCTTGATTAAGAGTGACAAAGAATGGAATGATGGGAGCAGAGGGACAAAGCACTCACTGACTAACTCACCAAGTAGATAATGGGAAGTAGAGGAGAAAAATGCTCCTGAATTCTGTTTCCCAAGTCCTTCTGTCTCCGGGCACGTTAGGCTTCTTTGTGCTTCAGGGGTTGGCTTCACGGAGCTTTGCTAGGTCTCAGTTTGTTTCCTCACAGCTGAGGCCAGCTTGTGCTCGAGCACTCACCCGCATCTTCAGACTGTCTGACCAGGACAACAACCAGGTGCTGAGCGATGATGAGCTCAATTACTTTCAGGTGAGTGCTGGAGGGCAGCCATAGCCACAGCAAGGGCTGCTGCCGTCTTTTAGCACTTTCCACTTCCCACTCCTAACCTGTCATATTCAGTTGGGAACAAACCCCGCTAGTTCTCCTTTCTCCTGGGTTTACAGCCGGTCCCCTGATAGAAGCTCAGAGCTGTGTCTAGCTAGGTATGTGCAAGGTTTTCTGTGCAGCGACTGGGCTGAAGAACCTTGCCTCCTCCGCTTTCTTGATCTAACGTCGGTATTTCTCTTGGGGTCAGAAATCATGCTTTGGAAATCCTTTGGCCCCCCAAGCCCTAGAGGATGTGAAGATGGTGGTGTGTAAGAACACGACAGATGGTGTGAAGGATGACGGGCTGAGCTTGGATGGTAATTTTTGACCTGTATGTATGTCTCTCTTCACTTCGTTTTGAGGGAACTTCCCATAGGCTGTCTACACTAGGAACCCAGGCAGACAGGGAGGTGGCTTTCTGCCTTGTTACATTGCCAGATTCTGCTTTGAGTTCCACACTGGTATACACAGAGCTCTCTTCCTTTGGATTATCCTTTTTTTTTTTTTCTTTTTAAGCTCATCATGTTTTTAATGAGGTCACCAAAAGGTTAGGTGACTTGCCCAAGGTCACAGTGAGTGAGAAATTAACTGGAATGGATTCCATTCCCCGTGATGTCCAGTATATTGCTTGATCCATTCAGCCAGGTCAAGGAGACTTGTCTCATCCTTAAATTCCAGAGGTTTGATGATGAATCTGAAGGGGCTCCCTCGATAGATATTGTTCTTCTGACGGCTGCCCCCACTTCTCCTGTAGGTTTCCTCTTTCTGAATACCCTCTTCATTCAGAGGGGTCGTCACGAGACCACCTGGACCATCCTGCGCCGCTTTGGCTATGATGATGAGCTGGAGCTGACTGATGACTATCTTCACCCACTGTATGTGACACTCTGAGGTCTGAAGGGGAAGGAGCTAGAGAACCATGCTAAGTTTTGGTTTCCCTAAGAAGCCAGGCTGTGCCTCCCGGGTTAACCTGAGGGGGTGGTGGAGTCAGCCTGCCACTCAAGCTTAGGAGGACCTCCTTGCAGTCAATGAGTGGAGCTGGTAGCCCTGATCACCCCTTCTGTACCAGGATTGCCCTAGCCGAGAGCAGAGAATCCAGTGTCCCCTGGCCGGTGATTCCCCTCGGGCCATCTCAGCCACTCTGTATCAAGAGGGCATGTTATGGTTGGGGTAATAGAACTGACATCCAGACATAACCATGTTTTCCAAACAAAACAGCAAATCTGAACACCATCTTAGACAAAACCCATTTGGCACAATAATCAAGTTAGGGTTTACTGCTGTTATCACCCAGCCATCTTAGCTCAATGCCCAAGCACAATAGGTTTCCCCATCATTAGGAAGAAAATCATTGTAACCCAAGCTACTTCCCACAACTATTTCTGATTTGTAGATCTCCAGGGTATAACCTAGGTAGGAAGGAGAGGGCAGGAGCATGCTAAGTCTCTGTTCCTATGTATGACCTGCATTCCAGGAAGCATTGCCTCAGAGGTAGACAATTAAGAGCTACGTACTACAGTAACAGCAACATTATGTGATGATTGACTATGATTGACCTATCTCTTCTCAGCCATACAATGATCCAAGACAATTCCAAAAGACTCATCTTGGAAAATGCTATCCACATCCTGAAGGGAACTGATGAAGTCTGAGTGGAGATCAAAGCATATTATTTTTACTTTTTCTTTTTTGTGCTTTTTTTTCCTTTCACAACATGACTAATGTGGAAATATGTTTACATGATTGTATGTGTATAGTCTATATCACATTGCTTGCTGTCTTGGGGAGGGGAGAAGGGAGGAAGAAAAAATTTGGAACTCAAAATTTCATTAAAAATATTGAATAGTATCTTTACATGTAATTGGAAAAAATAAAATACTACTTCTAAAAAAGGAAATATTTAACAAAATAAGTAAAAATACAATAGAACATAAAGAAATAAGAGGCTATGTACTGAGTTCAAATTTATTAATTGGACAGGTTGTAGCAGCCCTCCTGTAGGGAGTACAATTCTGTAAGCAATGCACTAACGTCCCTGGAATGTTGGCCATGGTGAGCTTGTACCCTCCCTGGCCAGGTCACCTTTTATTGAGTTCCTACTTTTTTTTTTTTTTTTTTTTAAATTTTTAGGCAGTTGGGGTTAAGTGACTTGCCTAGGGTCACACAGCTAGTAAGTGTCAAGTGTTTGGTCTGAGGGTGGATTTGAACTCGGGTCCTCCTGACTTGAGGGACAGTGCTCTATCCAATGCTCCACCTAGCTGCCCCCGAGCTCCTACTTCTAATGGTCTTAAGACGAATGGTTTGCAGAAGATTAAATATAATTGTTTTAGTTCAAATGGATCTAGGTCAGGAATGACTTGTATGTGGATATTTGGATGAGAAATCTCTTTGGTTAGGTCAGCGTGGTGTTCTAAATAAGCCGTTTGTTAACAGTGGTTAAGCTGAGGGTGAGCTATGACCAGTGGAAGCTGTAACTTGGGAGTAGTCCCCAGTCCTCTGTCATAGCTGAGTAGGTAGTTAACTGCTTCAGGCCTCGTCTCTCCACCCCACACCCACCCTAACAGTTTTCCTTCTCCGCCTCCAGGATCCGTGTTCCTCCTGGCTGTACCACTGAGCTCAGTCACTTCGGTTACCAGTTTTTGCAAAAGATGTTTGAGAAGCATGATAAGGTGAGAACAAGAACTCACTTTAAGTTCACCCTGGACAGCTACTGCTATTCTTTTCACCAGATCTTGCATGCTTCTCTGTAGTCTCTCCCCCATTCCTCTGTTTATGCCCATCTAAAAACCATAAACACATTCCCCAGCCTTGATGCAGCTATAGCTGCGCCATCATAGCTGCGCCATCATAGCTGCATTGGACCACCCTTTCCAAGGGGGTCACTTGAGACACTTCTGTGTTTCCAGGACCAAGATGGAGCCCTCTCCCCTTCTGAGCTTCAGAGCTTCTTTAGCCCATTCCCTTCTCTGCCTTGGGGCCCTGAACTCTACAATACAGTATGCACCAGTGATAAAGGTCTGCTTTCCCTGCATGGATTCCTCTGCCAGTGGACGTAAGCGTAGTCTCTCTTCATCCCCCTTAACACATGTTCACTTTAGTGTTCACTTGCCCTTCCCTTGTTCCTCATAACTGGCTGCATCCTCTTCTCTTGCTTCCCCAGGTTAGTAACCTACCTGAACATCCACCACTGCCTGGAGCACCTTGGTTATCTGGGTTACCCTATCCTGTGTGAGCAAGACTCTCAGACACATGCCATCACAGGTGAGAGGCCTCTCCTCAGTTCCCATGGACTGTGAGGGACCTCCTTCATGATCATTGACCGTATCATGTTTTCCCTGCTAAAGTTACCCGAGAGAAGAAGGTGGACCTGGAAAAGGGACAGACGCAGAGGAACGTCTTCCTCTGTAAAGTGATTGGTGCTCGGGGCGTAGGCAAGTCAGCATTTCTACAGGCCTTCCTTGGGAAGAACTTAGAGGTGAGTTTGTCCCATTTCCCATTGTGTGTATATAGATCTATCTATCTGACTTACTGTCTGTCTGTCTGTCTCGTTCTGTAGCTTATGAACTAGAGAAGCTGCAGGGTCTTGTGCTTTCATTCCCAAGTGAGGAGCGGACCCTGCTGGGGATGGAGGTGGCAGAACCTTTTGGGTATGTGTTTCATCGGTTTGCTATCCTTCTATTCACCCATGCCTGCCTCGGTTGCAGGCCCTCAGGGAGCACCCAGGAGAACAGTCCTTCCAGGTGATCAACACAGTGCAAGTCAACGGGCAGGAGAAATATTTAATAGTAAGTCTGGGGGCATTCAGGGGTGGTGGCAGCTCAGGGAAGGGTCTATTCATCTCTGGAAATAAGTACCCAGGTCTGCCAGGAGATGGGATTGCGGTTCCTTTGGGGAAGGGGAGACGTGTTTCTGTCTGAGCCAGAAACAAGGACGACCTACTGTCTGATGCCAGTTTTTAGGATTGAAGTGCCATTCCTTCACCTTTCATGGCCATAATATAATTTCATCATTTTGGGATGTTTGCACTTGAAAATACATGAAGCACTTTTACATATTTCTGAGGACTTTCTCTCCTTGAGGGGAAGGTTAGGGGTCACTGCTGTGGTAGCTAATTCTCTGACAGCTAGGGAACTCTGTGCTGCCTGAGAAGTGGAGTTTTCTAGAAAGCCTGGATTTACATTTTTTTTTTTGCATACTCTTCTTCTGTCATGATAGTTTGAGTATCCCTTGTGCATCCAGATATCATCTTTGCTTGTAACTAAAGACCCAAATAGGGGTAATAAGGTACTTGACCATGGTCAGAGATAAGAGTAACCAAGTGAGAATTTGAACTAGTAGCTCCAGGCCTGTCTGCTCAGCTGAGAAACCTCTGGGATGTAGGTAGTTAGTGCCAAGGCAGCTGTGGGGAGCCTTCTTTCCTAGCCCTGGCCTGATGGGGAAGTGACCTGCAGCTCATTGGACTGGCTTGCTGAGAGCTGATTCAGTGCTCCCTGCCTTTGTTGTCTCCCCATCCTTCAGCTGTCTGAGGTAGAAGCAGACACACAATTCACTACAGCGTCTAGTGCATCCTGTGATGTCGCCTGCTTGATGTTTGCTGTGAATGACCCTAAATCCTTCACCTACTGCGCCAGTATTTATAAGGCAAGTCATTCATTTGCTCCAGATCCTTTTCTTAGAAAGGAAAGGGTACAGGGCTTGCTGGTTAGGCCAATACTGAGCCTGGTACTGGGGAGATCATGGGCCTACAGATGGCAGGGTGCCCACCCATCATAGTTGTAGGCATTTCTTCAATGCCTGGTCATCTGCCAAGTAAGTGTACTTCTCCTGGAAACCTTGGTGTTCCAGGATCCGCCTCCCCAGTGGGCCTGAAGAGATAGTCTTCATGCTGTGACCTGAATTCTCTCCTTTCTGTAGCAATACTATATGGATGGACAGATCCCCTGCCTCTTTGTTGCCTCCAAGTCTGATCTGCCAGAAGTGATCCCACCACGCGGGATGTCCCCAGCTGAATTCTGCCACAGGCACCGTCTCCCTCCACCATGCTACTTCACCTGTGCTCCCAGTGCTCCTAGCACCACTGTTTTCACCCGGCTGGCAACTTTGGCCACTTTCCCGTGGGTACCATGGCCAGCACCCTGACCAGAGATTTGTTGTTTTTAACAAAAGAAATTCAGACTTCAGTGTCCTTGGGGTCCAGTGAGAGAGTTAGCCTCTTGAGGCTTTCTCAGGGAACCTGATGGGATTGCCCCTTGAAGAAGGGAGAAGAGAGAGGACAAGCATTTATTAAACACTTACTGTAGGCCAGACACTGTGCTAAGTTGTTTACAAGAGGGAAACAATAATATTTTACATTTATAGATCACTTTTCAGGGAGCTTTTACATCCATTTGATACTCATAACAACCCTATGAGATGGTCAGGGCAGGGATCATTAACCCCCTGTGGATGATGGAAGTGAGGCTCAGAGACTTGCCCAGAGTTACAGGAGTGACAGAAACTCCAATCCCAGTCTTCTAACACCTAGGTTGGTGCTTTTCCCACTGTGATAATTGAAGTGACCTCCACCACTCAGAGTAAGCTCAAGTATTTCACAGGCCTGGGGACTTATTACAGGGGGTTTTCATCACCTTTTCCCTTACCCATTTTTATTCAGTCATTTTGAACAAGGTTAAAACGTAGCCATTGGTATTTCTGGAGCACCTGCAGTGTTTTTTTCTTCTCCCTTAGAGTGAACCATTAGAGATGTCAATTCTTGTCTTCCTCCCCATCCTGCTCAGGGACATAAGAGTAAATGCATTGGGCCAGACCATTCTGCCCTTTGGTCATCTTTGACTGACAGTGGCACCAAGGGAGAGTTTAGGGGAGAACCTGCTTTCTTATTCCAAGACACTTGCATCAGGTTAGAAATATGCCATAAACATCCCTCAAAAAAGCAAAAGAGCCCCCCTCCCCCCAAAAAAGGGAAGGGGCAGCTAGGTGGCACAGTGGGTAGAGCACTGGTCCTGGAGTCAGGAGAACCTGAGTTCAAATTTGGCCTCAGACACACAACACTTACTAGCTGTGTGACCCTGGACAAGTCACTTAACCCCATTGCCTAGCACCTGAACACTAGTGGGAAGTTCAAAAACCCTTAGGTGCTTCCTTCTCTGCCACGTGGTCCTAGGCTCTGGGTTAAAGAATGAAGGCAGTCATTCTCAACAAGTAAGGAATTTTTGTTCCAGGGTTTTCATCAGTCTCTGAATTAAGACCTTTGGGATTTTCCTATGTTCATTTGGCTGGAATCAGACTTTTTTTGTAGAAATGAGAGTGACTAAAGAAAGACTGTTCATGAGTAATGATGATAGTGGCCAAGGGAAAGCACTGGGGGAATGAGTTTGGGCTCCTTCACCACATGTTTGTGTCTCCTTTCCCGCAGGCATTTGAGTGATTTAGAACTTGGCACAGCCTCCTTTTGGCTCCGGATGACCTTGGGGGCCACTGTGGCTGCAGTCCTTGGATTCACCATTTACAAGACCCTGGTGAAGAACAAGTAAGGGGAGGGTCTGGGTCGCACCAGACACTTGCTGTAGTTGGCTCCTCCTCACCTTGCTGCCAGGGCAGATCAGGGCTGCCCATATCCTGGAGGAACACTCTGTGATGAGCTCTACCTGCCTCTGCCTCAGAGCCCCTTCTTTATCCTCAACTGGTATTTCGTGATGCACCCTCTCCCCACCTCACTATTTTGTCTAAATTTGGTCTTCTCAATCTCAGGGCCCTCGGGAGGGGCTGAGGAAGCAGACGGACCTCCCTCAGATCATAGCGGGTATTTTTAGAGCTTTTACAGTTTTCAGGCTTGGTCACCTAAAGAAGCCAGCTATCTATCTGTCTGAAAGGAGGCTTGAGGCTGGCTTTTAGAGGTTTGACCTTTCTACCTTCCCTGCTTGATTTTAGGGTAGTGTGTATGAGGGGAGGGGAACCAGCAAAGCCCCAGAGGAAGCCCACAGTGGTCAACAGGAAGAATTTTCCTCCTGACCCCAACTTTCAGCCGAGCTCTATAGTGGGGAGAGTTGACACCCAGGGAGACTGCAGAAATATGGTCTGTGGGGTTCTCGGCTGTGCAGATCTCCCTCCATTAGTCACAGACTGTGCCCCAGCCCATGCTTACTCATCTGTATCTGACACACTGATTCCCAAAGTAGTATCTCTAGCAGTGTTCTGGACCACATCTCTTCTTCTTTCCTGGCTTGCTTAGATGTTCCTGAATCTCCATCTTCCTTCTCTCAGCCTCATGCCCTTAGCCTCTCTCCTTGGCTGCACACTGCCACATGCTTTGCTCTGCTGTGAGGGTTTGTGCCGTGCTGGCATTATAGGACTATTGAATTCTAAAAGAGCCAATAGTGGGGAGGCATATGGCCTCATAATCTGGAATTCTCCTTAGCTAATCTCCAACTCTGGGTCACCTTCTCTTTCCCTTCCTTACTAGGCTTGGGGCTTTGTGGCTTCCTAAGCTGAAGTGCATGCAGAAGCCCATAGGCCTGGGAATGGGGATAGAGTCAGGAGACAGCCCCTGGAGTGAGGGAGGCCATTAAGGATTTTTCCACCATGAGTGACCCAGATTTTGGACTAATGAAGTAATCATCCTTTGTTCACCACTTCAGTATATGTATGCATTAGGGCATGAAGAAAAAGTAATTTTGTTTCCTGTTTAAACTGGAAATGATATCTTTTCTATTGCTGAGACCTCATACTTTGAAAAATGTCTTTTTATGTCAGCCTGAAACCTGTCTCTTCATCTTCAGTGTTAGCGTGGGCTGGAATCCATGCCTTTCTCTCCCTTTCCTTTTTCTCTTCCTCTATCCCTTTCCCTGAAGGAATATCTGTTGAAAAATCCTCCACGAGGAATGATCTCCCCATCGAATCCATGTTGTCTCTCCCTTCCCTGTTGGCACTCAATGCCTCATCTGGCTCCTGAATCCGAGGCAGGGGTAGGAAGCAGCCAGTTAAGCAGGGAGCAAGCACTTGAACCTTTCAGGTACACTCAGGGTAGGGCAGTTTACGTTGTGCTGTTGCGATGGTGTTATGTAAACTACCTTTTTATGCAGTAATCTATTTTTAAAAAAGGATCTATTTTAGAGCCACAGCCTAGATACATTCCAGACCTGGTTCTGTGTATCTGGAGCAGTGTTATGTACTTGGTGCACTGACATCAAGGGTCTGTGTTAATCATTTAGTTTACTTTAAAGCGGAGGCTTCATGTATTTAAAATAGATATTTTCCATTTGAGGCTGATTGAGCTATGATTTTCCTTTATTAGCAGAAGAAAGAGGGTGCAGCATTCCCTACAACAATCTCTTAAACTTCTCCACCTCCTAGATTACAAGCAGAGGCGCAAAGATAAAGCCAGAAAAGGGGTGTTTGTTCACTGTCTTGTTCAGCTATGATCTTTGTCCTGGGGTTGGCGCTGTGTAGCTCTGCCTCATATTGTCAAGCGGTCTCTGTCACTAGGAATGACATGGATTCTGCTGGGGTGGCTTAAATGGATTCTGCTGGGGTGGCTTAAAGAGCCACCGTGGCATGTAAGACAGGACCTGGGGCGGGGGGGGGAGAGGTTTTGGACATCTTCGTCTTCTAAATAAATATCCAGTGAACATTTGCTCTTAAGGTTATATTCTCAGGCCATTTCTAGGTAGGGAATGGACTGATTTAGCCCAAGAAAATACAGGGCAAAAGCCACAATGAGTCCTAGAAGAGAACCAACTTGGGATGAGTGTCCATTTTCTCTTTGAGATGTGGTTTTTAATGTTGAAGGGAGCAGGAAAAGACACTAACCTCATGGCTTTGAGGAGTGGGCTTCTGGTTCTCTTTATCTTGATTTTCAGTTTGGGAACAGATTCCTCTTGAGAGCCAGTGCCCCAGCCACTCTATGTTCCCAATCCTTGGACTATCTTTGCCATTTCTAGACACATGTGAAAGGAAGTTGGTGTTCTCATAGTAGTAAGGGGCCTCGTGTTGTTTCTGGGTGTGGGAAAGAGTTATACTGCTATCAGGAGGCCTTGCTGGTCACTGGCCTTCACTAGTAGAGTCTGGGTTAACAGGATTCTCTCAGCTCCAGCATGGCTTTGGAGAATCTAGCCAAGTGTCCCTGCCTGTGATGTTTCCTTTTATCACTGGCTGTTCTCCATGCTGCTGTAACGTCGTTTGAACCAGTGTCCTGCTGCCAGCGTTGCTGCCATCCAGCTCGGGAGGAACAAAGTCTAGGTTGGGAGCCCAAGAAATGCCACTTCTCACACGCTCTTTCTGTTTGAGTATCATGTTCATTTTTCAAAGCCATATAATTTTATGATGGGTTAAACAGTTTTCAATAAAAATAAGTGTTTGTGTACACTAAGACTGGGTTTGATCTACCTATGTTAATCAGCTGTTGTAAAGACCACAGTAAAATTGGCTGCCCAGACCTCCATGGGAAAACAAGACCACAACCCAAAGGGCAGAGTACCTACCATTTCTCACCAGGGTTTTCTCTCCTTTACATTTTTAACCTAATGCATGATTATTGAGGCCATTTTGGCTTCTCTTTTGCATCTTCCCCGACACCTGTTAGTTGTCTGAACACTGCTGCTGATGGTGAACCTCATCTTCTGGTCAGTGCCCCCTTCTTGTAAAGCAACCCAGACCACTGCAGTCTTGTCAGAAGAAGACTGGTCTGAGAGTCAGGACACCTGGGTTCTAAGCTTGTCCAGGCGTCGATGTGACCTTTAACAAGTCACATCATCTCTAAGGCTCAATTTTTCTATTTGTACAATGGATGATAATCGTTACCTCATAGGGATAGTATGAGGATCAGATAGTGAAAATATGTCAAGTTCTTTCTGAGAAAAGCACTGCATATTGAAAATAAAGGTCATGAAAGAGGAGGCTTATGTTGACCCCCCCCCTCCGCCCCCCTCCCGTAAGTTAGCATAAGGAACATGTCCCACTTTGTCCCAAAACTGGCACGTCTTTCAACCTCTGCTGCTTCCCCTTGTGTGCTGCTGGGGGAGGCTTTAGGGAGAAAAGCCACTCAGCTTAATGCCCCTTCTCTGAGCTCCAGGCAGCCTCTTTGCTTAGGCTTATTTCTGAGCAGGGCAGCTTGCTATTTCTAACCTTCCAGCATCCTCTAGGGGCATTAACTGCCAGGAGTAATTGCTCCTTTTCAGCTTCCCGACAGGAGGTTATGGATTTCCGAATGGTCTTTGGAGGGGGTTACTATGGTAACCCAACAGCCTCTGTGGTAATAGTCATAAGGCCAAGTCTACCGGGACCAAATTTCTCTCCCCTGGTATCCTCCCAGCCCTGAAGATTTTGATGAGTTGGCATGTGAGCTTGGGTTTGGACCCTCAGAGGACAAGTCTTTTTCTGCCCCACTGATAGACAAGGGTGGCCTCTTCCATCCCTATCTTCTTCCTGGCTTAGGAACAGGTTCTTCTTATGTAGGAATTCAAGAACTGTGCCCTCTAGGGCAAGATAACTGCAGGAGGGCAGTCTCTGGCCTTATGAGCAAAGGGGTGCCTGGAAGGCTGCTCCTTCCAGTGGAACCCCAGTCACTGGGGGATTTACACTAATCAATAAGACCTCACACTTCCAGGCTAGTCAGGGCTACACTGATAGGCAGTGCTGCTTCCCACCTGATGCTTGTCCAGTTTTCTTGCCATTGCTATGTTATGTTCCAGGGCCCCAGGCTCATGCTTTTCCCAAAAAACAAAAACAGAGCCTCCCACACACACAGTCAGGATCAGGGTTCTAGGGCAGACAATGAGTCTATGTTTAGGTATTGCTTGTGTCTCGTTTCTAAGCAGCTCCCCAGAGCCTGTGGTGACAGCTGCAGCTTCAAACCTGAAAAATTAACTCTGCTGCTGTTTTCTTGGGCAAAATTCTGTTGTGTATCCTATGGAGTAGTCTGCTGCTCCCTTCCCCTTTTCCCCACCTGTGCCATTCACCCAAAGTATATATGGATGTGCCATAAGTATGTGTGCTGGGAAAAGGGGAGAGGGGGAAGGATTTTTTTTAGCTTTCCAGGCTGAAGAAGGGGACTGAGCAGAAGAACCCTGGTGCTCAGGGCATAGATTCCCAGGATGGGAAACTAGCCCTTGATGTTCCAAGAGACTGTTGCTAGGACATTGAGAAGGAGGGACAGAAGAAAGAGAAGATCAGAAGGCCTTCAGGAAATGATGAAGGAGAGAATGAGTTCAGTATGGGTAGAAATATTGGTGAAAGGTTTTTTTGTAGGAATTTGGTTTTGAAAGCTGAATAGGATGTAGATTGCGGGTGGGGGGCACAGTTTACCATCTTCTCCCATAGATTGATCATAAACCCTTCTAAGGTAGGTCGTAACCCAAACCTCGATCTCTGGCTTCTCTAGCACTGAGTCTTGCACCTAATGTGTTCCATAATTAGTTGCTGCTGGTGATAAATGCACATGGTAGGTGGGGTGGAGAACAGAGCTCTGTATCTGTTTCTTGGCTTGTTAAAAAGGGCAGTGCCTCAGCTAGCTGGCCACAAGACCTCCTCTCCATCCTGTCCCACAGAACAAGCCCCTCCAACACTGATACTGGGGACTTGTCAGATGGCATCGAGGGAACCTATTGCTTTCTCCCCATCACCTCCTTCCACAAGGATTTGCACAAAGTACATACTTAATAAATGTGTGCTCAATGAATGTTGGGTCTTTTAGAGAGTGAGGCTTTATGTATGTTGCATTTATGATTATAGACATGAAATCTGGTGCACATATGTGACTGTACAAGTGGTTACCACATTGGTTGGAATGAATATGGGCTGCACCCCCAAAGTGAGATCTTTGAAAGGTAAACATTATAGATAAATGTAGAAAAATATATCTACACAATACAGTGCTAGCTAATACAATAATCTTTAAAGTACTCTACTTTGCATATGTTATCTCATTTGGTGGGTGCTATTATCCCCATTTGACAGATGAGGAAACTGAGGCTCAGAGAGGTAAGCCCAAGGTTCCCTTGACTCCATTTTCCACTCTATGTTGCTTCACAGATAATTCTTTTCAGTCATGTCTGACTCTTTTGAGACCCCATTAGAGTTTTCTTGGCAATGATACTGGAGTGGTTTGCCATTTCCTTCACCAGCTCATTTTACCGATGACGAAACTGAGGCAAACAGGGTTTAGTGACTTGCCTATGGTCACACCGCTAGTGTCTGAGGTTGCATTTAAACTCAGGTTCTGGTGGACTCCAGGTCCCACTCTATCCACTGTGCCACCTAGCGGCCCAATAAATACAGATACACAAATGTGCTTTATATGAGGAACATTTGCTATAGGTTTTTCCTTTTTTCTTAATCTTTTCTTAAACTTCTGAGAAAGATTTTATTCATTTCTACTATGATTGTTCAGTCTTCACTGATCTCTCTAGTCATTAATACTCTTTCCTGGCTCAGATTATGTTGTATTCTCTCCAGGAGAATGTAAGCTCCATGAAGGTAAGGTCTGATTTTTCTCTCCTCTTTCTATTCACAGTACTTAGCACAGTGTCCTTGCATGTAGCAAATGCTTAAAAAACGCTTGTTGGATTGGATTCATTGAGATGGTTTTACTAAGAGCCTCCACACAGGTTTTCTACAAGACAGATTTGGGGTGGGATGGGAGGAATGCAGCCTCTATTCAGACCAATAAAAGATGTTGTAAGCATGTGACGACACATAGTTGTGAGTAAAAATGTGCTTCCTCTGGAGTGTGGCCCTATGACACACGTTTGCTGAGCACCTACTGCCACGCGCTGTGGGAGATCCAGAGATCCTGCTCTGGGCACTCGGTGGACTGGAGGCAGCATGACAGATAAGTACCTGAGTCGCCTATGGAGTACACCCTTGTCTTCCCCTCTTGGGTTTTTAACCTGATGCTCTTCACATAAAAGATGCCCAGGAAATGCGGAATGAATGAACAATCTGTAAAATGAGACGGGTAACTTGGATCCCTCAAAGGCCTCTTCAGTTCGCACGATTTGTGAGTCACCACCGTGTGTGTGTGTGTGTGTGTGTGTGTGTGTGTGTGTGTGTGGCGCGGGAGGAGATGGGGAGGGAATAGAGGAGAGCAGAGAGGAGGAGCGTGGGATGTTTGCGCGTTTGTGTGGTTCTGTGTGTATCTGAAAGCAGGAGAGGAGTGGGCTGTATGGCTCTGGGAGCGAGTGGTGGCGAGGAGAGAGGGGTGGGACGTGCGGGTGCTCGGCTGCGAGCGCGCGCGCGCGCGCGCGCGTGTGTGTGTGTGTCCAGGAGAGAAGAGGAGAGGGAGGGGGAAGGGGAGTGGTGGCTTGTGCGCCTGCCACGGCCGTGGCTCCGTGACGCGCTGGCCCCTGTGTGCGGCAGCGGCGGCACTAGCTGGGGCCGGGGCAGGGCCAGGAGTGAGGCGGCGGCAGTGGCAGTGGCAGCGGCAGTGGCCAGAGCGGAGAGCGGAGAGCGGAGCGGAGCTGGGGCTGGGCCTGGGGCCGGGGCCAGGGCCGCAGCGCCGGGTCCGCGGAGCAGCCGCCCCCCCGCCCGGGTAGCTCTATGGACAGGAGCTCCCTGCTGCAGCTCATCCAGGAGCAGGTGCGGAGGGCGCGGGCGCGGGCGCTGGCCGGGGCTGGTCTGGTCTTCCTGCACAGACTGCACTCCCTGTCTTCCCTGTCACAGCACGCCCCCTGCCCTACCTTCCCCCTCCTCCTACCCCCCTCCCGTGCATGCAGAAAGACGTAGGTACCGCCTGCAGCTGCGGCCAGGGGCTGGAACTTGGCCGGCCCGGGGAATTGCACCAAACCGCGGGGCGGGCGCCCGAAGGTGCGTCTCGTAGTCTCCCCACTGGGGCTGCCCTCCTTCCCTTCCCTTCCCAGGGATTCCGGCCAGGCTGGGTGTGCGCCGAACCACTCCGACCAGGGTGCAAGTCTTCCCTTGGCGCAGGATTCCCCAGGGAACCTAAGCGCCTAGAGGCGGGATGGCTGAGCCACGCTTTGCCACACCCCTGTGTCTGCCTCCTTCCCGACTGGACACCCCCTACCCAACTCTAGGACACCCTGACCTCCAAGGCCCCCGCTGACCTGTGAGCTCGGCTCCCGCACTGACAATGGGGGGACCCCCTGGGGCTGAAAATGAGGAGGAAGAGGGAATTCCCCATCCCGGTCCTGGGGATGCTTTCTCCAGACCTCGAACTGGGGCTGTGTTCCAGAACTAATGGCCTGTCTGAGTCAGTGATGGTGTGGTTGGGGAGCCAGGAGCAAACGGCCTTCCTTTTCCATTCCTGCTCTCTGCCTCCACCTTGCAGTCACCTGTCTAGCTGTTCTCCCCCCTAAACTGGAAGGATTGTCTGGCCTTAGGATGGAGGACATGAGTGATTCAATCTCAGTGTGAGTCTAAGAAAGATTTATGGGTGTAGTTAAGTTGTATCCAACTGTTCTCTGGCCTACAACAACATGATGATACAGGTTAGACTTCAGCAAGATTTCCTGACAACAGTGTTTTGTTAGGTGGCTAGTACGGCTGTCTAACAAATGTATAAGCAGTTTCCTGACTTGAGGATGTTCATAAATGATTCATAAATGGGAAGATTCTCACCTGTCTGTGGAGTTACGTTTGGCCTGCCTAAAAAGAAAGGATAGGACTGCAGGCCCCTTTCAATCCAGGGACTTTATGCAGTTTTGTCTTAGTGATTCATAATAACTACCCTATTCAAGGGGCCCATGGACTTAGGGCTTCCTTCTCCCAGCTCTGACCAATAGGGACAATAAGCAAAACAGGATAGGACAGGGCTGTGACACTTGCCTTCAATGTCTAGACAGAGGATAAGTATCTAGGAACAGAGAATGGAGGTCTTTGAATTAAGTCAGTGGGAGCGCAGGTAGAGAATTGAGATGAAGAAGCCCCGGAGAGTCAGGAGGGACAGGAAGGCCCCTGCCCTTTGACGTACAAGAGCAGTTCTCACTATTTCTATGTCACTAGATGCAGAAAAATAAGCTGCCCAGGGACTGAGATATTTTCTCTGTCCCACAGCAAAACCCGCCCCCCTTTCCTATGATGTTTATGTGGGGGGAGGGAAGGGAGTGGGTCTGGAAAATGCTGGTCTTGACCCAGCTGTCCTGCCCTGTTTTGGGCCTCATCCTTCCCCACCTCCCTTCTCCCACCTTCACTCCTGGGCCCTTCCTATCTCCAGCAGCTGGACCCAGACAACACTGGCTTCATTGGCGTGGAGACCTTCACTGGCCTGGTGCACAGCCATGAGCTGCCATTGGATCCTGCTAAACTGGACATGCTGGTGGCACTGGCCCAGAGCAACGACCAAGGACAGATCTGCTACCAGGAGTTGGTAGACCTGGTCAGTGACAGGGGTCTTAGGCCTATCATCTCAGCTCCCATTGGTCCTCTGGATCTTGCTTCTGGGGTGATAGTGGGGGGGTATTCAGGGAGAATTCCTATTTATTGTGGTTTATATTATCACTCTAGCTGGGGGAAATGGGCATTGTTGGCATTAAGGGTCTTGAGGGCATGATGCTCTTTGGATCCATCCAAGAATCAGTCTGAAAGGGGTGGTTTGGTGGAGGAAGGGTTTTGGTCCAGCAAACTGGCAGCAGAGGGTAGTGGAAAATGTATTGAACATGGGTTCAAATCCTAGTCCTGCTATTTACTGCCTGTGTGGTTTCAGGTTTCCTCATCTTTAGAATGAGGGAGTTGGATTAGATCATCTCTAACATTCCATCCACGTCCAAATCCTTTGTCCTCTGACTATAGGACTATTGCTTGAGGATGTACAACCTGTACTCAGTGTCTTGACTGTAAGCATGTGGCCCAAGTTGTAGATGGAATGCCTTGTATGTAGTAGGTAACTCAGTCAGTAATTATTTTGAATGGAAAACAAAAGTGGTGGCAATATCTATGAACAAATCCTTATTGACGACTGGAAATCTGGTCCACAGAAAAAAGTTCATGTTATTCGACCTCTCTCCCAAGTGGCCCTTTGTGTCCCTGCACTGGCATTAGTTTCTACAGCTGGATACCAGGGGCCCTTTTCTGCTCTTCCCTGGCAGATCAGCAGCAAACGCTCCAGTAGCTTCAAGCGGGCTATCACCAATGGGCAGCGTGCCCTGCCTCGGGATGGGCTACTGGATGAGCCAGGCCTTGGTTTCTACAAGCGCTTTGTGCGCTACGTGGCCTATGAGATCCTACCTTGTGAGATGGACCGCCGATGGTACTTCTACCAGCACCGAACCTGCCCACCCCCAGTCTTCATGGCTACTGTTACACTCACACAGGTTATACCCTTGGATACCCCATTCTCAGCCCTAAACTATTTCCCGTTTGCAGCCTCAGGGGGCCAGACTCTGAGATAAATTGTCCTTCCCAGATCATCGTGTTCTTGTGTTATGGGGCTCGGTTAAACAAGTGGGTGCTGCAGACCTACCACCCTGAGTATATGAAGAGTCCTCTGGTGTACCACCCTGGCCACCGTGCCCGAGCCTGGCGATTTCTCACCTACATGTTCATGCATGTTGGGTAAGAGGGGATTGGCTTCAGTCTCTCACAGAGGTCAGATATCTCCAGATGAAGTTTCCCTTAAGGCTCAGGCTGGAAATGAGAATCAGGTGAAGCTGTTTCACTTCTTTACACAGCTGTTCATGGGACTCCGAGGAAGTAATCTCATGTTTGTACCTTCTTTTACCCTTTCCAAAGCCATGTGAAGCAGGCCAGGTAGGGAGGAGGAACCCCATTTTACAGAGACTGAGGCCCAGAGAAGGGGGAAAAGGGACTTGCCCAGGCTATACCACTCAGGAGTCCCTGACAGAGCTGGGGTAGAACCCAGGTCTCCTGATTCCAGCAGTCGTTCCCTCCCTTTGTATTTGCAGAGCAGGGAAGGGGTCTTGTCCCCACCTCCCAGTTTGGAGTACAGGAGGACTTAGGCAGATGTAGGTTTTCAGTTGGGCAGTAGGAATGCTGTGACACCATTGGGTCCCCCTTATGCTCCAGGGCTGATTTGTAAGAGGCTCCGTGGTGGATGCTTGATCAATGTCCATATTGCTCTGACCAGTGTTATATCGCCACCTCCATCCAGGTTGGAACAGCTGGGCTTCAATGCCCTCCTACAGCTCATGATTGGTGTGCCCTTGGAGATGGTGCACGGGGTGCTTCGGATAGGTTTCCTTTACTTGGCGGGTGTGCTGGCAGGTAAGGTGGGGAGTAGGAAGCTACCCTCCGAGGTGTCTGCTGAGGGAGCATGGCTTGAACCTAGGCCCATTGGGACAGCCCTCTCCTGACCTACTGTCCCTTTCATTTCCTCCCATAGGTTCCCTGACAGTCTCCATCACAGACATGCGGGCCCCTGTGGTAGGGGGTTCAGGTGGCGTCTATGCCCTCTGCTCTGCCCATCTGGCCAATGTTGTCATGGTAAGGAGAGGCTCTGGCCTGGGTTGGAGGAGAAGAGGCACTGGGGATTTTATTTTTGTTTTATTTTGCTTTTTGGTGAGGCAATGGGGTTAAGTGACTTGCCCAGGGTCACACAGCTAGTGTTAAGTGTCTGAGGCTGGATTTGAACTCGGGTCCTCCTGACTCCAAGGCCAGAGCTCTATTCGCTGTGCCCCTTGCTGCCCTGGCACTGGGGATTTTGAAGAAAGCTAGCCATGTCCCCTCTCACTTCTTGGCCCAAGCCATTAGGGTGAGCCTGTTAAAGCCTCTCCATCCAAACCCTCACCAGATGCTCCTTCTTCTTAGAACTGGGCTGGGATGCGCTGCCCCTATAAACTGCTGAGGATGGTGCTGGCACTGGTGTGCAGTGAGTATTGGCCCTCCTAAGAGGTGTGTGTGGGAGGTGGGGAAGGGCCTGGGGAGAGCTGAATTTGGGTCAGAACAATGGTTCCCCTGGCCTGAGGAAGCAGGCCAGGCTCTGAGCAAGGTACATAGGGTTTCTCTACATGCCCCCCACCTGCACAAGCTAAAGGAGGAAGAGTGAATGCCAGCAGTCAGCCTCACTAGAAGGGAGAAAGGCCAGTCACTGCCACCCCTAGGGTATTATTCCTTCTCTAGATGACATTAGGCACCTTCCAGGGCCCCCAGATCCCGCTGTGCCCTGAGGTGTGAGCAGCCCCCACCAGGCTGAGGGCCACCCCAGGGGTTCCCCTGTCCTCACATCTTGCTCCCCCCACTGCAGTGAGCTCAGAGGTGGGCCGAGCTGTTTGGCTTCGCTTCTCCCCACCCCTGCCTGCCTCAGGCCCTCAGCCCAGCTTCATGGCCCATCTGGCAGGCGCTGTCGTGGGCATCAGCATGGGTCTGACCATCCTTCGAAGCTATGAGGAAAACCTGCAGGACCAGTGTGGCTGGTGGGTGGTGTTGCTCTCCTATGCCACCTTCCTCCTTTTTGCCATCTTCTGGAACATCTTCGCCTATGACCTGCTGGGGGCACAGGTCCTGCCTCCCCCCTAGTACCCCATGAAAGTGCCAACACCGCCACTCTGGTGCCACCATCTGCCAGGCAGCCAGGACGCGGTTATTTTTCCCTGTCAACGTGAACCTGACTGAGGCGGGGTCTAGTGCCTGGCCTGGTTCTCCAGTAACAAGAACAACATAAGGTGCCAACTTCCCACTGGATTCTGGGCTGGGCATGCAGGTGCGTGCATGTGATTTGGTGTGCAGGCTAGTCAGGGCACGGCCCCCCTTGGCAGGACCTCCAGGTGTGGGCCTGCATGTCCACCCTCTACTGAATGTATGTTTTAAAGCTGCTTCTCCCACCCCTGCCCCTGTGCCCACCTGCCTGGGAAGGGCAGGGGCCCCACTGCTCCCCCCACCAACAATTTCCCTCAGCTGGCTCCTTTCTCTCTAACTCTCCCCAGTTGCTGCAGGGACTTCAGCTCTATGGCCCTAAAAGCTACTAAAATCAGGGCCTCTCAAGCCTTACAATGGTCCTGGGCCTAAATCCTCTTCCAAGTCCCCCTGCCACTAGGGAAGCCTGGTTTGAGGCTGCCCTGTGGAAGGTAGGAGGGGATGTGCCTGAAGGAAGTCAGGGGTAGGAACCAGAGGAGAGCACCCAGGGGAGTAGGATAGAGGCCCCACAGCCTCCAGAGCAAAGAGCCAGTTTGATGGATTTGCTGTCTGAGCCTTTTTGGAGTATGAATAAATATTTTACACAGCAGCTGGCCAAGCAGTCTTAAAGTAGGACGCCAATCTCAGCTCCTGGCCTGCCCTCCAACACTACTCAAGTGACCTTCTCTCTCCCTTCTTCCCCTCCTCCAGAGGCCCTGCCGTTGGGATGGAGGCCAAGGCAGATTCCCTTGGGATCTCCTCCTGCTATTTCCAGCTTCTGGTCTTTCCCAACAACTTCTCAGGCCTGTTAAGATTTTCCCTCCTCACACTTCTGAATTTAGGCTCATGTGTGAAGGCAATTAGGAAGCTGTTTACACCTCCTGCCAGAGTAGTTAGCTAAGAGCTGCTGAGCCACTAGGGCCCACCCCATTCATTTCCTGAAATCCCATGAGGCCGAAGCCAGGCCCTACCAGCGTTTAAGCACCTACAGTCTTCTCTAACTTTCAGGAATTCAGGAAAGCTCCAGTATCAGGTGTTTTATCTCTGGAAAACTAGGTTCCCTCTGATTCCCTCCCTCTTCCTGGTTCTCCCTGTGAGAATCACTGCTCTATGCAGTTCTGAGAGAGGTGGAGCATCCCCCTACACCACATATAGGACAAAAGAAAAACAAAGCACTGGACATACTTGAGCCTTGGTCTGTGTAGGAACTGAACACAACAGAGAGAAATTATTAGAACTGCAGAGATAGTTTAAGTGACTTCCCCAAGGTAATTTAGTGATGAAATTGGAGCTACCCACTCCATCTTCCTAATTCCCAGCTCAATCCTAGCCTGGGAGAGGGTATCTAAGGAGTTGAGGTCCAGATGAGGTTGGGATGGAAGGCAATTTTAATGGATGACAGTGGCTACCCTCTGCCCTGAGCCCTTGATGGACACAAGTAGAGGACAGGAGTCTGGCTGCAGGTTACTGTGACTTGATGTATTTCTCTTGGGTGGAGTGTATACAGACAACGAGGATCAGTGAATACTAGCTTTTCGTTTCTTGGATGGTCTAACATCTTCAGCACCTTCCCTGGCTTTGGGGGCTTTCCAAGAAAAGGGAGGCAGGACTGTGGGACACAGTTTTTGGGCCACATTCCAGGTCCAGAGGCACATTTCTATCTGGTGAGGAGTCCATTCTGATGAAGCATCAACTGAGAAAAGCCCAAGGAGGAGGAAAGATGAACATGCAACTCTGGGCCTACTCAAACCAACCAAGTATTCCTGCCAGGGGTCTCTCCCCCCCCCCCCCCAGCCTGAGGCTCCTTTACCCACTACATTTAGGCATAGTCATTACCCAAACCCTTCTGGCATCAGAGGCATTTGGTCAGTCCATCAGAATCAGAGACTGAGATCACTGTGGTATATGCATCTCTCCAGCAGTTAGCCCTTACCTTGGTTTAGTCTCTTAGCACAGGCCCGGATCTTGTCCAAATATAGGATATAGTGTTTGAGAGTATACTGGAGCACGGGGAGGTCAGGGACAGCAGCTACTGCCTCATCTGCCATGAATGCTATTGTCTCTGGGGCACCTGCTGCCAGAATTGCTGAGGGAAGCATAGCTGGGTTATGGGAAGCCAGGGGATCCTCCAGTCCAGGCCCATCCATACTTTCCAGGGAAACTGAGGCCTGAATGTCACCTCATCTTAACTAAGTTCCCCTGAACCCCTAAGTCACCACTTCTGCTGGAGCTGATCTGCCCCAACAGAAGACATCTCTTAGTAGCATGAGGTCAAATCTGGCCATTGGTTAGGAAAATGTTGAACTGGACTGATTAAAATGGTCTAGTTCTAGTGTTCCAAGGCAGCAGGTGGGGGAGGGGATACTCCCAAACCTCAAGGAGAGCAGAGGAAGGGATGAGTGTCTTGTACTCTGTCAGCATCAGTCATTCTAGGTCACACATAACTAACTACCCACTGAACTGAAGCGGCCTCAGCTTGAGCTGGAGAGGCAGACCTCAGGATGTTGGAGAAGACACACCCAGACTTGCCTCTCCACCTCACAACATCCCCCTAAGGCACCAGGAAACCCAGGGCCCAGTACAGCTCCACAGGTTACAAAGTGTCACCTGGCTGCTGGGTCCCACCCTCAGCTCTCCCCCTCACCAGAGGCAGTGGCTGGTCCCACGGCCTTAAGCTGGCTCAGCTCTGTGATGGCAGCTTCCACATTGGGCAGTAGAGAGAAGGCTGCTGCTGTGCACTGCTTTACCAGTTCCTCTGGGTTAGTGGCCACCAAATGCTGCAGTCGTGGTCTGAATCTGCCCCTCTAAGTATGCGTGGGGGAGAACAGGGGCAGGAGGATAAGAACATGGTGAGAACATACAATTGGATTCTTAGTGACCTTCTGTTTAGCTCCTCACAATCTAGTCCAGTCTCTCACAGAAGTCCGGAGAGGTTGTCACACAGGTAATAAGTGGCAGAACTGGGATTCATGACCAGGTCTTCTGACTACAGGTTCTAGACCAATTTACATACTTCAATCTCTTCTCTTTAGAACACTGAGTGTTCTTTCAATGGAAATACCTCTCCATTCCACATCATTTCTAGGATGCAACCCCAACCCCAACTTTAGGAAGAAATCCTATGTCTTACAAACATGGGGACGTGAACAGAAGTTTTATAAACTTTAAGTCATTGAACCAAACAGAGCTCTGGGCTGGGAACAAGTTTTGGGGTTTGACTTCACTAGGGTAGGAATCAGAAGACCTGAAACCTAATTGTAAACCTGGCACTAACCACTAACTCAACATGTGACTTTGGATAGGTCATTTCCTCTTGCTGGGTTTGTTTCTGCCTCTGTGAAATGATGAGGTTGGACCATCATCTCTAAGATCCTTCTAACACTGGTATTCCATTCCCAACATTCTAAAACCTAGAGAGTAAAGTGATACAGTGACCTACCTATCCATCACTCATTGCACATCAATCAATCAACAGACACTTATTAATTACCTGCTATTTTTGAGGCACTGTGGGAACAAAGACAACTGACTTCAAGGGGCTTACATTCCATTGAGAGAGAAAACACATACATGTGTATATATATATGTATGTATAGAGAAAGAAGCACAGAGCAAAAGATAGAGACAGACACAATACAAATCTATGGTCATTTCATTTGGGGGAGGGCACTAGCAGTTTGGGAGAGCAGGAAAGGGACATGTTTAGAGTCAGTAGGCAGGGCCATGTTAGGTCGCCCCTCGGAATAGGCCTAAGAGCTTCTTTTGCCTTCCCTGTTCAGCCTGGCTTTGTGCCCATCTCTACAGACACCACCTTATTCAGATGGAGAAAGTGCTTACCACCAGCTTCCATTCCATCAGCTTCAGCAATTCACCTCGAGTTAGGTATTTCTCCTTTCTCTCTCTTATAGAAGCTGGCAGCTCCTCCTGATACCTGAAACAGGCACCTACTTACAAACAGAGCGGTATATGTGTATGCAGTGGTGACAGGGAAGAGTCAGTGAAGGACCCTGTTGCACTGGGACAGCACTTCCCAAAGTCCAGCCTTTGGATCTCAGGAGAGAACATTAAGCTGCTTTAGAGCAATGTGCCAGACACTACTATACATGGATGAGATTCCTGTCCTGGACCCCTTAGGGACTAGCATGATTCCCTCAGATGCCAGGGCCTCTTCGAGCACTGGAAATAGATTTTCCCAGGGTCCAGGTTCTCAGGGAGAAGTGAAGAGATACAGCTAGGCCCCATATCCTGTCGAGCCGTCCACCAAAAAAACCAAGGATAAAGCTTGTGAAGGCATTTTGCCATCTGCTTTTACTCCCCACCCTTACCCCCACTCCTCCTGGAGAAATTCATTCAGCTTTGGAATTTCACCCTGGGCTTGAGTTGTCCTGGTTGATAGGTGAGAGTGCAAGATTAACGGACCCACTATGTCTGGCTGGCCTCCGATTATGCTGTATATCACATTCAGCTATCCACCAGGACAACAGGACCTACCCAGCAGGATGCTGCCTTCTGCCTCACCACCACAAAGGAGCTCACCAACACCCCACCCGCGTGTCCTTCCACATCTGGCTCTGGGACTGCCCTCAGCTCCACTGCATATCCCTGGGACTCTTAGAACCACAACTCCCCTGTCAGTCTGACATTCATCAAATGCCTACTATGTGCCAGGCACTGTGCGAAGCACAGGAGATGTTTCCCCCTACTAGGATAGAATCGAGTTGAGGGCAGGGACCGGCTCACTAGCTTGGTACCTCCAGAGCCCACCACGGGGCAGCTAAGGAATGCTTTTTAATTCAAAGCCAGGCGTCCCCGCCTCTTCTCCCCTCCCTCCACCCCCGTCCAGGACCCTTGGGGAATCAGGGAGGAGGTCCAGGCACTGGTGGAGGCGGGGCTCACCATGCATCCAAAGCGACAAGTTTCCGGGACTTGCCCTCTTTGGCTCTGACCACCTCCTTGTAGCAGCCCAGCACCGCCGTCCAGCACTGGGGGTCGTCACAGCCATACAGACCCCCGCTCGGGCCCATGGTTCCAGCCCCAGGGAACGGGAATCCACGCACCTCCTGAGCACCGGAGGCTTCTCCAAAACGGGAACAGCCTTCTGGGCCCCTGGGGAAAGAAACACCTTGGACCCTGACGTGGGAGGGAAGGGGTTACGAGGGACAGGGAGGGCGATTTCTCTTCTCTTCCCCACGCAAGGGCCACCGTCTCCGCCCGCGCACGCGCAGAAGCGCTCCTCGCCAGCGCACCTTCTCTCCATCCCTCCCCTATTTACCCCGGCCCAATCTCACTCCGTTAGAGGCGGGCATTCCCTCCCTAGCCCCGCCCCTTTCACAGTCGCGCTCCGCCTCGGCCCCGCCCTTCATCCCGCGCACGCATAAAACCTTGTAGAGGGTGTCCTGTTCCCTCCCTCCTTTCCTGGCGAGCTCAGTCGAAGTCCTCTGCCCCAGCTCTGCCGTGGCTGTGCCAAGACTGCCGTTCCTCGTACGCACTGACGGACTTGCTTCGGGCCTACTCCGACCTCTTTTCTCGGGGTGCGCTGTCTCCCGCTAGCCCCGCCCCCCTCCCCCAAGCTCGTGCGCGGGATCAACTACCGCTCGGCCTTTCTCCCGCCCCCTAGCGCCTCGTTTGTCCGTCGTCCTTCCTCACAGGCTCACCCCTTCTCTTCCGGCTCCGCCCCTCTCTTTGGTCCCGCCCCCTCGCTCTTCCCGGCCGCAACTTCCGGTTGAGTGACGGTGCTGGGTTTCCGCAGGGAAGAGTTCGGGGCTTCTTGGGACCGGAGCTCGGGGGTCCGAGCGGAGCCGCTGGCGCGCTCTGTCGGCAGCGCCCGGGGCGAGGCCGGGGTCAGACCTGCATTCAGCGGCTGGGGCCGGGGGCCGTGATCGGATCACGGGGCCGGGCCGGGGTAGAGGCCGAGGCCGGGGCCGGGCCGGAGCCATGAAGGGGAAAGAAGAGAAGGAGGGCGGGGGCGGCGGCGGCGGCGGGGCCCGTTTGGGCTCGGGGGGCGGCGGCACGGGCAGCCCCGAGAAGAGTCCCAGCGCCCAGGAGTTGAAGGAACAGGGGAACCGGCTGTTTGTGGGCCGCAAGTACCCAGAGGCCGCGGCCTGTTACAGCAAAGCCATCGTGAGTGCGGAGGAACGGGGCCGGGGGGCGGGGCTGCGGAGGGCGCCAAGCCGGGAGCGGTGAGGGGGCACGGGCTTGGGGGGCTGGGGGAGGGGTGGTCTCAGCCGAGTGCCGAGGCCCCCTGGAAAAGAAACGGCTCCTAGATGCCTTTGTCCAGGCGGGTGGAACGGCGAGTGGTTGTAGGTGGGCTCCGGCTCTGCCCCGGACCCTGGGCCCCGGCCTTCCTTGCTGCAGGAACTGAGTACTCCCTCCTCCCTCCTAGGAGTCTCGGATTGGGGTTGGGGGGAGCCGCGGGGAATGGAAAAGTCACTTTGCCCCTACCCCCTTTCCTCCTCTGGGCTGGACGGACAGGAGGGTAGATTTTGTGTGTTCAGCTAGAATTTCTTTGTGGTCCTTGCAGTCATTCATCAGAGGGAACTATAATGAGCCTGAAGGATCCCATAAGTCTTGTTTCTTTTTGTTCTGCAGCTGGGCAGGGGCAAGTCCTTACAAAGTCAGTAATTCATTTCTGGGTGTTGAGATAAGTTATCTTTGCTGAACTCAAGAGCTTGGAGTCTTGTTCCAGAGTGTCCAAGGAGTGCCCAAAGGTGTTGAGATAAAAGACTGGGGCAAGTGAATTTTTTTCTGAGTTAACATGAATCTTTTCTTAAATGTAATCACAAATGTGATGTTCAGGATTAGGCAGAGGAACCCCTTTTTGTTGGTCTTTCCTTCTAGGAATATTTTTAAATGACAGGTACTTAATGTGCAATTGATTTTTACAACAGTGCCTTATGAAGTGGAAAAACTAAAAAAGCATTTGTTGAATTGCAAAACTTTGTGGAGGAATAACTATCAGAACGAAGTTCCTGTCCTTGGGGATTCTGAACTAGTTTGCTTCTAGAACATGCCATTTTGGATCATATAATGATAAAGGGATGGAGAAACGGGCCATGTCTTATAGTTGCTAGGGACAGGCTGGCTACTTCCCTTGACTCCATTGGGCCTTGTAGAGTTAGAGGCCTCAAGCTTCAGCTGAGGTGGCTATTTTCAGTGGGCCAGAAGAGTGGGTAGTATCTGAGTAGGGAAGGGAAGGAAGAAGGGTGTTGAAGAAGTGGGGAAAGGAGGATCTGAAAGGACAAAATGGGAGAAATCCAGAGAGGATAGTCTAGGGAGAAAAAAGAATCCCAAAGTTCTGTGTGTTTGGGGTTAGAGGAAGAGTAGCCTAGTGGTCACAGGAGCAATGAATGGCTGGTGTCTGAAGCCCCTTCAGCAAAGAAATGACTCCTAAATGTCTTTGTGATTCTGACAGATGTGTTAGTTGAGACATTGGAGCATACTGGAGGGAGTGTTGAACCAGGAGTGGGAAGTCCCGAGTATCCCAGCTTTGCTACTTACTGTTTGCATGACCTTGAGCAAGTTATTTTCACTTCTTTTGGGCCTTATGTTTTTTCATCTAAAAATCCCTTCCCTGCTCTGGGACTCAATTTCTTCCTATGTAAGATGAAGAAATGTAAAATTACCTCTTAAAGTCCTTCCTGATTCTAAATTCTGAGAGGAAGAATGTGTGAGGTGAGACATTTAATGACTCAGGCTATTAACCTACTTAGCTGCTGGAGCTTTCTGTTTATCTCTATTTGCTTTAATGTAGCACCTTGTACTTGTCACCTGCCTGGCTTCCTGAGCATGCTTTTCAGGACTTTGTAGGTGGCTTAATGCCTCTGGCTTATGGCCCAGTTGACTCATGGGTGAACTTGAGTTTAGGAAGGGACCCATTCACAAACATAGGTCCCTAAAAAGCCGAGAAGAGTAGAGACCTCACTTGAGAGCAGACTGCCAGATATCACCTTGGAGATCTAAAAAACCTAGCCAGGACTAAGGGTGGTTTTCTAGGGATACCTGCTCAGGTGACTCTGTAAATGGTTTGGAGGATGGAAGCCCTGAGGTGCCCAGTGATAGCCTTTTTTTCCTGTGGTGAGCTCTAGGAACCAAATCTCTTTTCCTGTAAAATAACTAAAGTAAAAGGTTTTCATCTTGCCTGATGTCGGAGGCTGAGATGAAAGAAAGGGGAAATGAGCTAGGCAGGTACTGAGTTTTGTATTCCTTGCACCTAGGACAGGGTCTCCTCCCCTTTGTCCTTGACCAGTAGAAGGGTTCCTTTGTCCTACAGGCAACTGGACAGGACACAGAGGAAGGCTATGGGACTTTAGGGGTCCTGTCCCGTTTTGCTCTTCCCTATTTCAAGGGCTCCACTGTTTCTGAGCTGTCCTTGGAAGAGAAGCTGGGTAGAAGGATGGTGAGGCAGAAAATAGAGATAGGACACAGCCTCTGAAGAAACCAGGCTTCCTCCACCCCCTTTCCCTCACCACCCCCAGTATCACAAGGCTCACACATAGTCATGATGGTCAACTCCTTTTTCACAGTTTAGTTCTTGTGACCTTGTTTCAGCAACTGATAGCTTGGGCTGTCCTGCCTGTTCATAGCAATAACCGATCAATAGTTACATTGCCCAGATCTTGTTTCTGGGCCTCCCTAGTTGATGGAGACTGACACATACTCACTACACCTAGCTCATTCTTCATGGTCCCCATTGGTGGGTGGGTGGGGGTGACACCACTAAGGTCCAATTATTGGCTCAAAGCAGACATTCCAGTACCCTCAGAGGACATCTCACTTGCCTTTCCTAGTCAGATACAGCTTGAAACTGGCTGAAAACAGGGAGTAAAAGGTGTGATGCCTGAGAACTTGAGGTTGGAGCAGAGTGATGAACTTGGGAGTCAGAAAACTTGGATTTGAATCTCAGCAACACCTCAACTTTCCATGGATTTTTATAGTGGATTTTAAGGGAAAGTGGGAAACTCTTCTTGGAAAGTAGCTGTTCTGCCCTGAGGCTGAATAGAAAATATGAATTCAGAGGCCACTCTGGGCTTTCTGAAGATATTTCAGCAGGTTTTAAAGGTCTGCTGTCCCGATTTCCCCTACCCAGACCCGAAATCCCCTTGTGGCTGTTTATTACACCAACCGGGCGCTGTGCTATCTGAAGATGCAGCAGCATGACAAGGCACTTGCCGACTGCAAGCATGCTCTAGAGTTGGACAGCCAGTCAGTGAAGGCCCACTTCTTCCTGGGCCAATGCCAGTTGGAGATGGAGAACTATGACGAGGCCATTGCCAACCTGCAGAGAGGTGAGCCAGGCCCCACTGGGCCTTGAGGACTCTGACAAGAGTCCCAGGCCCCTCTCCCCGGGGCCAACTCTCCTGGAGTCCAAGGTCTTGTGCCCAGTAGCATCCACCCTCTCCCACAGCCTACAATCTTGCCAAGGAGCAGCGGCTGAACTTTGGGGACGACATCCCAAGTGCGCTGCGCATTGCCAAGAAGAAGCGTTGGAACAGCATTGAGGAACGGCGTATTCATCAGGAGAATGAACTTCATGCCTACCTCACCAAGCTCATCATGGCAGAGAGAGAGAGGTGAGCAGGTCAGGAAGGGTCCAGCTGCACCGGACCCCAAGCCCTACAAGCAATTTTCTGACATGACTGTCCTCTTCTTCCCCTAGGCTGAATCATTTCCTGGGTATGGGTGTGTGGGAAGGGCCTGCCCTGTGGTTAACAGTAGTTTGGGCGGGGAGGGGATTGGTCTGGACCTGATATAAATGTAGGAGACTCCCTCCAGAGATGTAGGTGGACACCTTGTCTATAACTTATAGCCCCCACTTGCCTGGGGGCACTACATTGTTAAGTGACTTGCTTATTATGGTCATATCCCTAGTGTGAATCAGAGGCAGGTCTTAAACCTGGGTCTTGCCTTGCTCTAAGGCTGGCCCTCCATCCCATCTTGCTATGATGCCTTTCAGCACTGGAGTTATTTCAGAAATGAAATAAGAAACAGTTCTTGGTGTCAAAGAGGACCAAAGCACAATACGTAGATAGCTGTAATGTAAGGGGAGATATACAGAGTTTGGGAAAAGTTGACTGATTACTGGGGAGATCATGAAGGAGGAAGCAGATTTCAGCAGGTGTCAGGGAAGGTCCAGAGAAGTTGAGGCTAGATGAGATGTAGGTAGGTAGGATGAGATACAGATCTGGTGGGAACCATACAAGTTAGCAGCTGAGAAAAATAGAGGGCAAAGTAGAATCTGATGCATCCCTTCAAGCATTTGGGAGTACCTCCCATCCCCCCTCCCCTGGCATCAGTCCTGGGCATGGTGCTGCAGGGGATACAGTTTGAACTTGAGACCGACTGTTTCTGCTGTCAGGGTAAGGCTTAGGGTGTAGTTAGGGAGACAGAATTCTGAACTTGTTACTATCCAGGGGTGTGGCAGAAACAGTAAATGCTTCAAGGGTTTGGAGAAAGGGGATGAGGCCTGTGGCTCCACGTGACTGGGGAAGGCCTCTGGGGGAGTGGTCAGTTATTTTATGTGGGCCAAGCTTGGCTCCCCCACTTGAGGACCCTGTCATTTTGTCTTGTATTTCCTGCAGCGTAGCAGAGCACAGGGCTGGACACACAAAGTAGGTGCTCAGTAAAGGCTTGTTGATGGATTACTTCCTTGGCCTCCCCAGGGAGCTGGAGGAGTGTCAGCGGAGCCAAGAGGAAGACAACGGAGATGAAAGCCGGAACCGTGCCCAGCAGGCCAGCATCGAAGCCAAACACGTGAGGCCGCCTTGCCAGTCTATCCTTGCCTTATGTATCTAGGCCTGATGGCAAAGGGGGGAGATAATGATAGCACAGCTAGGGAATGGTACTGCCCAGGTTGAGGTCCACTATTGATAGCAGCTGGCCCAGAGATGAATGGGATGGTAGTCATAGCTGGGCTGTGTGGGGCATCTTGGCAGGGGCTAATTTGGAACAGAGCCCAGGCCCTGGAAGGAAATTTAAAGGCCTGTGTACCTTCTTTTCCCTAGTTATTAAATCTGGCATCATTGTGGGTCCAGTGCTCGAGGTGTGGGGTGGCTGGGTACCTCTGTTTACGGGTGGGACTCCCAGTGAAGGAGATGATTTCCTTTTCAGGATAAGTACTTGGCGGATATGGATGAGCTTTTCTCCCAAGTGGATGAGAAGAGAAAGGTGAGGACAGACTCCCAGCCCTTTGTCACTTTGCTTGCCTTCTCGTCTGCTCTGCTTCCTTTAGCCTCATGACTCTAGTTGGGAGGTGGGACCAGAATTACTGCCCGAGGAGGGCTGAAGGACCTGGAGTCTAGCCTACCCAGCCCCTGAGCACTTCTCTCTTTTCTTCCTGTGATAGAAGCGGGACATCCCAGACTATCTGTGTGGGAAGATCAGTTTTGAACTGATGCGGGAGCCATGCATCACTCCCAGTGGCATCACATATGACCGAAAAGATATTGAGGAGCACCTGCAGGTAATGGGCTGGGCATGGCAAGGCTGGCTGTCCTGGGCACTGGTAACGGTCCTGCTTAATACCTGTGGGCCTCGGTGGCTCCTCAGTATGGCTCTTTTTCTCTCTATCTCCAGCGAGTGGGCCACTTTGACCCTGTGACCAGAAGTCCCCTGACCCAGGAGCAACTCATCCCCAACCTGGCTATGAAGGAAGTGATTGATGCCTTTATTTCTGAGAATGGCTGGGTAGAAGATTACTGAAGCTTCTAGCCTCTTTCCTTGGAGCCCCTCTGTCCCCCAGGGCCAACACATGCCTTACTGTCTGTCTGGTCTGTCTCTTGTCCTAACCTGCCTGCTGGGTACTGAGCCAGCCTCCCATCTCTGTACTGCCTGTGGATTGGGGACCCTGGGATGCTTTGGGGGGCTTGATGGTTTCTGGAGTTTTAGAGAATGTTTGCCTCCCAAAGGGTAAGACTTTATCCTGGCACTGGCCAGGTTCCTGCTGTGGAGGTTGGCATGGTTTCTAGCACCTACCTTCCATTTCCCTTTCCCCATGTATATAATTTGTGTTCACTCCCTCCTTTCTCATTTAACAGCCATTACCTGTTCTGAGCCATGACCCTGGCCCTGGGGGAGGGCTCTCCCTGGCCCCTCTTACCCTGTTCTGCACTGTCTGAAGGGGCTGGAGTAGGAATGGACTGAAAGAAGCTCTATGGAGGGTAATAAAATCTGTGAGCAATATACCTTTGAAGTGGTGTGAACCCTACAGCTGCGGGGGCCCAGCAAAGAAGAGACAAGGGCCTCCAGCCTTCTTTCCTCTCACTTGACATCTTCTGGACAGATTTCTTTCTCTTGGTTTGAAACCCCATGGGACTCATGCTTACCTTTCCTCTTCCCCCTTCACTTCATGCTGATTTGTCTTCCAGCCCTAAGCAAGAGGGCATAAAGTGGCTGGCACGGAGACACAAGGCAGCAGAGCCAGCATCTTTACTTCATTGTAGGGAAATTGTGGCAATAAATTAACAGCACTCGGAGTCAGAGGGTGGCAACAAGTTGGCCTCACCCTGCAGGATGCTTTTGCCTCTAGCCCAGAAATGTGGAAATGAAGACACTGGTGTCCAGGTTCAGGGTGGCATGCCACCAACGGTCAGGGAAGTACAGCACCTGGGGATGGGATGAAACTTAGCATAGGCCTTTTCTTCTTCCCACTCACCCAATAAAGTGAACCCCTCTGACCTCACCAGCCTGGACAGTACACTGTAGGGGCCGTTCAGTGATTGGGAGCGCTGGGTATGTGTCCCGTAGCCAGGCCAAAGTTGTTTTGTTGGGATGAAAATCAGGCGTCTTCTCTGGAGGATACAGGAACCAGCGCTGTTGGGGATGGGGAAGGAGGACTTGGTCAGGACTGGCTTACCTCTGCCCCCTTCCAAGATATAGGGAGATTTGTCTGCCTCACCTTTCGTCCAAAGATCACCTCAGAATAGCCTGGCCCGTGCCAGTGGAAGGGTACTCCAGAGCCAGCACCTATGGGGGAGGATTTATCAACAGACCTGGACTCCCAGCAGCTCCCTGCCCCTGAGGGTGATACTGACCTGCAATTCCAAAGCTGTAGGCTGCAGTAGTGCCCAAGAGACGAAAGGGAGGTGGGGAGTAGTGTTGGAATAGTCCACCCCACTCAGTGAAGTTATTGTCCCCAAAGAAATAGAGTGTGTCTGGTGGGAGAAAACAAAATTGAAAGGTCTTCCTGCGGTTGCAGGCCTTTACTGCCCTGTCCATGGTCCTGATGTGCCCTCTGGGTGGCTAAAATTCTCTAGCTTCATTGGCCCTTGAGAATAAGAACTCAACTCACCATTCCCTAGAGAGTTTGGGTCTTGAGGCTGTAGCAGCTGTTCAACATAGTCGTGGAAAGAGAGGTCTACTGTGGGGAAAGGAAGAGGCTGGAAGTCAGGTCAGTCCTGCAGGAGGTGGCACAAAAGTGGTGTTAAGCACAGTTGGGCTTACCTTTCTGATAAGAAAATGTGTTAGCTGTACTCAGCCGAATCCTGAAGTCCCCAAATTCTGCCAGTAGCTTCTCTTTGGAGCACAGATCCTGGAATAGCTGGGGAGAAGGAAAGGGCCCTCAGGCTTCCAATAGATGTGTGCCTCCACCCTCTCACAAGACAATGTTCTTTGGTGGAGTTAGGATTGAGCAGGGTATTAGGTATGGGCAGGATACAGCTTGTGGTACTTACTGAGTTGTTGGTGAGTCTTTGTAGAATGACAGGTTTAGAAAAGGCGTATCTGTGAAGCAAGGACAAAGGTCACAGACAGTTCCTGCACACATCGATTCCCCCTTCCTGCTAGGTATGACCAAAGGGATCCTCTGCTCCAGACATTGCCTGCTGTGTGGAGGTCATGTTTTGGGGCCTACTGTACATTCCCATTGCTTCCTGAACTCCAAGTCACCCACAATGATCACGGAAAGGGCCCGAGCATTCCCTCCTTCCCCTACACACTGGTGAATGAACTCCGCGTAAGTCAGGTTTGCTCTTCGGTCTACAGTACACTGCTCCTCTTCTTCTAGGGCCGGGTGTCCACTCAGCTCCCTGGATGGGGGGAGGGGGAGGGAGAGCAATGAGAGGGTCTCTAACGTAGCTCATACCTGCTTCTCCCCTGCTATCCTGTTTGCCGCCAGGCCAAGGATGAGTTGGGGTTGTTGGGCTCCTGCATCAGCTATGTCCCTGGGGGACTACCACCACATCTCGGATCCTTGGTCTGTATCTAATTTTCTGGCAGTAATTTCACTACTCCATTCCTTCAAGCCTAGCCAAGTGACCCAGGTGGAACTAATGATTCATCTGCAGCAGGTTTGGTGGGAATGTCAACAATTTCAATTTTCTAAGAGTCCAGATAAATTTAGCTCTTCTCGACTAAAAGCTGTACTCCCGACCTCCTTTTCTGATACGTGAGGCCAACTCTCCACTGGATTGGCTGACGAATAAAAAAAAAGCATTTCAGGAACCCCCAACTCTAATTTCACCTATTTCATCCCCCAGGGATTTCCCTTTTCACTGTCTCCTCTGTGAGTAGGGCAGAGGGGCAAAGAAATAGTGAAGGCGGTGGGAAGAGAGGGCATGGTGAGGCGCCTGCTTCCTCTCCTCTGGGATGCAGGAAGTTAAGACAAAAGCAGTCGGCGGGTGGGGTCTGAGCAGACTTAGGGTCCCGCCCGTGCCCCTCTCCCCTTGCCTCGCCTCCCTAGCGCTCCCGAAGGCCGCTCCGCGCAGACTCTGCGCCCCGCTCCTGGACTATCCTGCCCGTCCCTCCGTATGCTCACCAGCCCCCGCTGGCAGGGGTCCCACTCTCGAGGAAAGCGAAGGCTACCAGCACCAGGAACAGGAACCGCATCCCGAGCCACCGCCACCGCCACCGTTCCAGCCCCATGAAGAGCGAACCCTCCGAGGGCTGCGGGAGCCGAAGCCCTGGGCTTGCTCAGGCACCGGGTAGTGCTCAGATCCTCCTGACCGAAGCCCCGCCGCATCCACCGCGGAGCATTGTGGCCTTTGCAGCAAGGACTACATCCCCCAACAGGCTTCGCGCGAGGGACCAAGCTGAGATTGACCGAAAAAAAGGTTGCCTTGGAGACTCCCTCAAGCAACCGGAAAACTCTTTCCTAGCAGGAACGTGCTTCCGGCCGCATTCTCTCCTCCGTTCCCTCTTCCCCCGCCTCGGAGGAGTGCTCCTCTTCTACTTTGCTAACAAATTAAGTACGCCCTCTTCTCCTTTGACTCCATCTCAAAATTCAACACCCGCCATGCTCTCCTTTGCTAGCTGGAGACATGGCTCTTCGGTTTGTCAAAACAAACCCCTCCACTTGTAGCTCTTGAGCCTCGACTGCAGTCTCTTCCAGCCCTTCCAGCCCTGCCCCAAAACGCGTCCAGCTCTCCCCGACCCCTTCTCCCCCATTCTCACGTCTCCTTTTCTAGGGCATTCCAACCGATCTCTCTGCTCCAAGACTTCACTCTCTCTAGTACATTCTCCACACTGCTGCCAAACTAATATCCCTAAAACACAAACTGGCCTATGTTGAGGCCTCTATCACCTCTAGGATAAACCATATAATCTTCATTTTGGCTTTTTAAAAGACCTCCACAGTACAGCTCTCACTTACCTTTCCAATCATGTCATGTCATGTTACCCCAAACCAGGCTGCTAGCTGTTCCCCCCCCATCTCTGAGCACTTGCCCAGTAAGTCCCAGATGTTGGAAATGCACCATGTCCTCATCGTTGCTTCAGAGAAGCTCTAGCTTCAAGGTACAGCTCACACAAGGCCTTTCCTGACTCCCAATTGTTAGGTGCAGTCTCCCTCCTGAAATTATTTTGTATTTACTTATCTGTGCGTCCCCAGGAAGGCATGGCCGACTTGAAGGCAAGGCTTGGTTGTTTTTTGTCCTATTCCCCACCACCACTTAGCACACAGCCTAGAATTTAAAGGTATTTAATGTTTGTTGAACTGAACTGAATTCCATTCTAGTCTGTCCTGCTCCAAAGTCTCTTCTGGGGACTGTCAGAGGTAGCTTCCAGCTACTGACAGCACAGCCTTCTTAAAGGGGCCTTTCCTGGAAGGAGGAAAGAAGATTTGAGTACTGTTGCCAGCCTCTCACAGCCCCCAATAAAAACCAACTCCTTTAGCTATAGTAACAACTTATATTTATAAAGTGCTTTTCTTCCAACAGCTCTGCAATTTTTACAGATTTCTATTTTTACAGATGGGGAAACTGAGACTGGAGAGAAGCCATGACTTGCTGGCAGAGTTCAGTCTTGAACGGAGGTCTCCTGATTCTGTCCAAGGAACAGATGACATGAATTTGTCTTTCCTTTTTTCTTCAGAAGAGGGCCAGAGGCAGAAGCATCTCATGGCATGGCTTGGCAGTCTTTTGTTGTTTCTGCAGAGACCCTGCGGACAGTTGGTGCTGATAGCAGTTCCGCAGGGGCAGCTCAGGTGTACTCACAGAGGTGGCCACAGCCTGCCGGACACTGTGTGCTGCTCTCCAGCCACTTGAGGATATGCTGTAGATGACCACCATGGCTGCAGCCCTGGCACCACACAAACAGACCCTTCACGACATGGTGGCACACAGCACAAGTACTGGCACACTGGCGGCATCTGTGGCCAGCAGAACAAGAGAGAAAGGGAGGAAAGTGATCACCAAGGGGCCCAGGAGGCCTGCCACTCAGGCTCTGTGATTCCCAACATCCTCTTCAGCACAAAGCCGAGGCCCTGGGATGGGGCTCGCCCTTAGCCCTTAGCAAGCCCCACCTCCTCTCTGCCTTCCCCCAGCCCGGCCCAGCCTCTGACCTGTCACAGATCCAGCCCTTGTTGCTCATGGGCCTCTTACAGTTGCTGCAGTTGACATGCAGGGTAGTGGATGCCTGGTTCAGACAGGTGATGGCTCGACAGGTACTCAGCTTGATCACTTGGTTAGATATGTTCCACAGCCTGAATCGCTGTAGCAGGTCAATATAGGAAGTGTACCAGTGTTCCTGGGAGAGAGGAGAGATGAGGCTAAAGCAGAGGAGAGCCTTGGGCTGGTCTGCTTTCCTACAGTACTACACCGTGGCCCTTAATCTCCTGTTCCCTAAAGGGCCAGAAAGCACAAGGGGTGACACATGGTAGATGTGTCAAGGACAGTAGAGAACATAACCTCCCCCATGATGAAGAGTGACAAGTGGCAGATTCCTTGGACTCCCATCCCCCTGGCAACTAAGTGGCTAAGTATAGAAAGTCTAGGGTTAGAAGTCAGAAGACCTGAACCTCAAGCCCATTTGTCAGTAACTCCATTTGAGCAAGACATTGCTTTTCTGGGCCTTTGTTTTCCCCATCTACCAAATGGAGATTATAAGCTCTACCAATCTCACAGGGATGTTGTAAGGATCAGATGAAAGAATGGATGGAAAGTTGCTTTGTAAACTGCAAGGTACTGGACACATGTAGTAATGCACCCAGAATTATCCCATTGCAATAATGTCTGGGATTGTTATGCATGTAATAATTCCATTACTGAGTATTAAGACTAGGTGTACTCTAAATAGAAGTCTTGGAAATCTGTCTGAAGACTATCCTACACCCTAAAAAATTTATGGCTATCCTATAGGTTTGCACTGACCCAGACCCCTAACCAGTTTCTTCCTCCTACTTACTGACCACATGTGGTGAATATGTAATCTGGCTATTCCAGCTTAACTCCTACCCAATCTCTTAACTATCCAACCCAATTTCTGGTCTCTCTATTCTTCCCTTCTCCTGTCCTGTCAAAGTTTGAAAGGTTTACACTTACTGACCAGAATGGGAAGGGCAGAAGGGCATGATTGTGGAAATGAACTCACTTCTGAGAAGGTGGAAACCATTTGTGGCTACCAAAAACTCACATTATATATACAGTGTTTTGAGGTTTATAGAACACTTTCCCTTTGCAATCCAAAATTAAAGAGAATGCGGTTCATAAAGAATAACCAGCTCACAGACACATAGGGGACCCAAAGTGGTAGCTCTGATTCTGGCTCTGCTACACCAGCCCCCCGAGAACACATGGTCAGATGGGCACCTGAGTTTGCTCGTCAATCTCCTTTCGGATGCGTTCGCCCAACACGATCAGCACAGACACGGCCATCTGTACATCACCCTGCTCAGCATAGAAACGCAGCATGTCCCGCACCAGCGCACTGAAGAAGTCAGGAGGTAGACGGCTCTCATAGAGCGTGTGGGAAATGGAAATAAGCGAGAAGGACTCCACGGGGGTCAGGGATACTGTCTCTGCCTCATTGCCACTCACGTGGGGTGAGTCGGCTTTGTCCTGCAGGTGGTCAGGACCAGAGGGATTGTCCACGATCTCATGGCGGAGAGGGAAGGCTTCCTGAGGCAGCACATACTCTGGCTCCTCCGCTGGGGTGGAGGGGTGGACACACCATTAGGTTGGGGGATATCAACACTTCCCGCATCGACAGGCCCCACTGGGGCAACCCCCTGCCCAGGCCCTGCTGCCGCTTACTGTGGGCATTCTCATGGTCCATCAGGTACAGCTCATCTTCATCCCCCTCCACATCGCCCAGGAGGTAGTCAGCAGGGACATCGCTGCCTTCCGTCTCCTCATTCTCTGTGAAGGGAGGAGAGGAAGTCAGGCTTCTACAAGAACCGAGTATGGCCACGTCCCCCTGCCCATTTGCTCATGGATTGTCCGATAGTGCTTGGAGCCTATCTGTTCCAGGCAAGGGACAAGCAACTGCCAGGAGGCCCATGAGGGGCAAGTGGCAGCTAGCTCCCGCCACCCACCTTACCATCATTAGTGATGAGGGTGGCAGAGGAGTCCAGAAGAATGTTCTCGCTTCGGTTTTCCCCCTTGCTCCAATCCAGTCGGGCCTCACTCCCCATTCCAGAGGCCATGTCCTTCAGGTTGAAGCTTTTTGGAATGGGGGCAAGAGGGGAAAGAGGTGAAGCCCAGAGGAGGGAAATGGGTCAATCAGGTGGAAGGTGCTGCCACCACCAAGTCCCTCCTCAGCACCCCTTCTTCTCTGCCCCTCGATTACCTATTCATAAGCGGAAGGCTGGCGCTGCCCTTCCCAATGCTGTGGTTCAGGTTGGCAGAGGGCATGGTGCCAGGACTGCAGTAAATAATCCTCAGCATGGTCCATGTTTGAGCAACCTACCCCAAAGAGAGAGTAAGCAACAGCCCCTGATCATGCACTGAAGAAGAGTGGGGTCGGGGAAAGAGTACAGGGAAGAAGTCGGCGCCCCTACTTCTCATTCTGGCTAACCCTTAACGCACTAAGTAAATCTCTTCCCTTCCCCAGAAAGCAGGCTCCCCACATGTCAATGATGGGCCCAGATCTCCAGCAGCTCTTCTGGAGATGCCGAGGGCTAGACTCTGTTGATTTAAATGGAAGGAAAGCCTGACGTTCACCTTACAGCCCTCTCTGCCTCTGATAAAAGGGAAACGTTCCAGACACACGTGTGAATCCTCTCAGTCGAGGTCCCTCAATCCCCTAGCTGGGGAATGCAGTTACTGTACAAAGTTATCAACTCAGCAAGCATTTATATTTAAGACACTATGAATGTCAAGGATACAGAGACGAAAAATAACCGTTCCCATTCCCATCAAGGAACATCCGTCTAACTGGGTGAAGGTAGTGGTGGCAGGTTACAGTGTGCAGAAATAATTATGGTAATATTTTCAGATTTTTTTTGATGTATTGGTTTTTGATGTTTTGCTGATTTTCTCTTCCTCTTTTTCTTTTAAAAAAATATTTAAAAAAAATTCTTACATGGAATGGCTCTCCGGGAGCAGGGAGGGAAATGGATACAGGGAGAAATTTAGGTGATAGAAAAATAAAATATACAAAAAATTTGTAAAAATGATGACATGAGGCAGACTGTAATAAGTGTAAAGACAGCCAGAAAGATTACATACATCTTCAAGAAGGGAAGAGAGAGTAATGAAAGTTTCATGGGCAAAGCTGCACCAGAGGTGGCCCTGAAGGGACGGTGACAGAGGGGTATCAAAAGGGAAAGATATCCCTTACAGGCATGAGGGTGTGCAGGAGAGCACAGAAGGGCAAGAATGGCAGCCCATGAAAAGTCCAGCCTGATTACACAAACACTAGCACAGGATGAAGTGTGAAGATTACGTTGGATACTGTGGAGGGCCTTGAATGGCAAAGGAAGCTGACATGCACCCTGCTAATCTACTCAGTCCCAAGAAGCTGCCCTATGAACCTGCCCCAGACTTGAAAAAGGCCAGGGGATCTCTTCAAAGATACTGCTAATATAGGCTGATTTGGGGAATCACAAAATGACACAAGTTTAGAATTGAAAGGGACCCTAGTGGCCATCTAGTTCCACCCACAGTCAAAAAGCCAATCCTCATTAGCACACACTCCACAAAAGGTCCTGTGGCCTCTGCCTCCACAACAGGCCATCCAACTTGTGGATGCTTCTGATTTTTAGGATGTCCTTTTCAACATCCAGTCTAAATTTGCCTCTTTGCAAATTTTACTCAGGAGCAAAACAGAACAAGTTTCCTCCCTTTTCCATAGGACAGCCCTCCAAATAAACGAAGATCATTTGAAGATCAATCATGTCTCTGCTGTGTCATTAATTCTCCAGGCTAACCTTCTCCATTTCCTTCAGCTAATCCCTATGTTGCATGGACTCCAGGCCCTTCATAATCCTGTTGCCACCCCCTTAACACTTTCTAGATTATCAATGTCCTTCCTAAAACACAGTGCCCCAAACTGAACATGATACTCCAGATGTGGCCAGACAAGCACAGAGGACAGGGGGATTATCACCTTCTTATTCTGGAAGCTGGGATTATCTTAATGCGGCCCAAGATGAAACTGGGGTTTTTGGCAGTCCTATCACACTGTTGGCTCATATTGAGCTTGTGGTCCAATAAACTCCCCAGATCTTTTTCAAATAAAACTGCTATCTATACCACCTGTTATACTTTGAAAATTGATTTTTTAAATATGTTTTAAGATTTTACATTTATTCCCGTCAAATTTAATTTTTTTTGGAGCTCCCAATTATGTCTTTTTTCTAAT